GATCGCCCTGGCGTGTAATGGCTCCTAGTTATTTCCTAGAAACGTTTTATTATCCCTCGTTTAATAAGTGCATTGTCGTTTTTACATCGTTGTCCAGAAAGAAAATGTTTGAAAGTACATGCTTTTGTGAGTTACACGGGATTGATGCCATCAAGATCTACTGTTAATAGACGGTTACATGTCTGTCATGTTTACATTTACTACCGTATGATGTTCATTCTTACATGTATTGCAATTATTTTGTTTGTTTGACAAATAAATAGTTTGATATGTTTCATCTATTTGTCTCTTATTAAAGAGTGTATATATATATAGGATATTAAATCATTTTCAATGGATACAGAATTTTATGAAACGAGTCTTAGAAACTTTCACTTATATCAAAAGCCTTAGCGAACAAAACCTAAAACTTTCGAGACGAATTTGCATAAAATCGCATATGAAATGAAATATATAAGATACTTTTCATCTTTCAATATGACATTTTGATGGATTTTAAAATCTAAGTGTTTAAGGAAATCATGAAACGGATGTAGCCATTTCCAACGTTCCAATTCTAGGTTTCGATAGTGATACCAGTTGCCTAAATTGTTGGAATTGTTGTCCCCGGAAATTACTAAATCGAACTGGAAAAAGCACATTGGAGAGTGAAATTTCCTCAATATTCAACAAATTTCATAATATCCAATATTGAATAAAAATAATGTCCAAAATATTTTCTGAAGCTTGCCACTATTCAAATGAATGAACAAGTGACTTACAGACCTCATCAAAGATAACTATGTATGACCATACAAACATTTTTCATTCTGTATTTCTTGAAACCAAGAGTTGAAATATTTTCAAAGAGGGGATCTTGGAAGCCAGAGATTGAGGAGAATAAAGACATCGATATTTTGATATCACAGTTATGGTAAAAGGTCAATATAGGAGGGGCATGTTATTATCATGCAATTTCATGGAACGCTCTTTCGCTATAGATGTCAAATGTTCTACTTTAGAAGGTACAAAAAGAGAACAGACTTTATGTGAGGTTTCAATGAATATTAATTAAATTCAATAAATTCAGTGTAGTATATTATCTAAATATGTCGATCTTTAAGTTTAACGTTTTAATTATCAAAAGTATTGATAAAATACTGGCATTTTCATAGTGGCTTTGAGTTAAGCTTTCAATTTAATAAATGAAACAGTTCGTGAATCAAAATATTTTAGTTCTTTGATCACCATGGACTATTCAAAGTTCTTTAAATAATCTGTAATTTTTTTTACCTTTGCGATGAATTTTCGCCCACTGAAATGGTTATTGCTCAATATTAAATGGAAAGAACGAGGATAATGTGACCAGACGGATGTCATGCTGCTGTGTAAAGAATGTGACATTTCATAACTTCAGAAATACAAGGTATTTCAAAAGGTCATTGTATCGATATTGTCGAGATCAGTGGATTTTTTTGTCAAATTCATTATAATCTGGTAAAATTACTTTAATTATTAAGTTCACTTATGGCATTATTCTGTAGTCTATGTGATGATACGCTCTTTAATCTGCATTCATCAGATGACATAAGAATCAGAAATATAATCAGGAAATATAACACACTATGCTGTGTCATGACTTTGCGTCCTACGGTTACCATACAAGAGTAAATGATGAATAACAATCTGCACAATGCTCTTCTTAGAGAATTCAATACCTTGTCCAAAAGGGGAAAAACATTCAGATTAATTTTTGTTTCTTATCAATATACACTGTAAATCACTACTTCAAGACGTGTACATAGATATATGACTACACAGTATCTCGAGAGGTTTAAGGTGAATAATGAGGCTATGGGTGGTAGGCTTCCCTGGTGGACTATTAGTTCCCAAGGTTTGCCGTAACCTGCATCACGATTTATTCGTTCAAACGGCGGCACGCTTAAAAGTATTCACATGTACCTGATATTGTCAAAAATATCCGTTATATGAAAATTACGAATTATGGGGATAGTGCACCACCGAATCTGGATTTTGACTTTTCTTTCGATCACTTTGGATTTTCGCATGTCGCCCTTAGGGTTCAAGGGCATCACTGACGAGCCCTTGAGAGACGAAACAGCTGTATGATGTAGTTGACGAGCCCATGAGAGACGAAATAGCTGTATGATGTAGTTGACGAGTCCTTGAGAGACGAAACAGCAGTATGATGTAGTATCACTGTCGAGTCTTAGAAAGACGAAACAGCAGTATGATATAGCATTACTGACGAGCCCTTGAGAGACGAAACAGCAGTATGATGTAGCATCACTGACGAGCCCTTGGGAGACGAAACAGCAGTATGATGTAGCATCACTGACGACCCCTTGAGAGACGAAACAGCTGTATGATGTAGCATCACTGACGAGCCCTTGAGAGACGAAACAGCAGTATGATGTAGCATCACTGACGACCCCTTGAGAGGTGAAATAGCAGTATGATGTAGCATCACTGACGAGCCCTTGAGAGACGAAACAGCTGTATGATGTAGCATCACTGACGAGCCCTTGAGAGACGAAACAGCAGTATGATGTAGCATCACTGACGACCCCTTGAGAGGTGAAATAGCAGTATGATGTAGCATCACTGACGAGCCCTTGAGACGAAAACAGCTGTATGATGTAGCATCACTGACGAGCCCTTGAGAGACGAAACAGCTGTATGATGTAGCATCACTGACGAGCCCTTGAGAGACGAAACAGCTGTATGATGCAGTTTAATTCATTATTTGACTCTACTGTATATTATCTAAATTTGTATTAAATTTTGTTATTCACTCGTGTGTCTTTTTACAATGTTGAGTACTGGAACGTCTTTTTATCAGTCAAATAGCAGAATCTTTCAATATTACCAAAAATGAAATCAACATAAAAATACCAATATGTCAACATATTCATGATCCAAACTTAAATTCAGTAGAACAAGGTCAAAATATGAAGAAACGAAAGTTTTATACGGAGACTCCTGAAAAAGTACAAGGAGAATAAGATCAGGTGTTCTGAAAGAGTAAGCGTCTTCTGCTTCATTGGCAACCCACGCCATATAGAAATATTGGTCAATCCATGTATGTAATGTTACATTCTAAAATGAGAACAAAGTATACAATTTGCTGATTGCGAACACGATCAGGTCAGTTGTGTAGGTATAAGTTATATACAAGCTACCAATTTCAATGTACGGTCCAGTAATTCATTCATGTACAATTTTTATAGAGGACCAAAGATTCGTGTAAAATCAAATGTTGAAAAACGTTTTATAAATTAACAGAGCAAGATGTTTTGCAGGTAGTGTGTAAGAATAGAAAAGACAAAAATAATTGATTTGTATACAACATACATCTTATGTGCCTCCAAATCTAGACTTTGGCACTTCTTTGATCACTTTGGATAATACTCAGTCGAATCCTAGCTATCAGTGACGCGTCCTATTTTAGTTGAATAGTCCTGCCCTGCTGTATCTCATTCTAAATTTTGTATTAGAAGGTTATATATGCACTTGTGTGTCTCGTCTTCTAAAAGATCATCTTGAGGTCCTTAGTTTGACTTTCCGATGTAACCGTTTCGTTGTATTAAAATGTCAGTAGGTGGCAATACATTCTTGAATCTCATTATCGTCTAAGATGTTATATAATTATATCTATACACTTTGGAATATTGGAAGGCTCCAAAAGAACTTCAATTTCTATGTTAATGAAATAAAAATGACACATAACTGAGGTATTCAGAAAAAAAAGTTTCAATTAGGATGCAACAGCATATTAACATCCTGTATGTTACCTACTGTACTGGCGCTGAGTATATAGCATTAACACAGAACTGTTGATGATTAACATTCCAGTCATCCGTTTGAGTTACCTGCAAATTTAGAGTCACAAAAGACACACGTGAATAGCACCATTTAAAACATGGTCAGCTAAGATGAGAAGATACAGCAGAGTCCAACTTTAAGAATGCCATTGGTTTGGTTAATTTTCGTTTTAGTCAATTCAGTGGATGAAGTTCTGTACAGAAATTTCTATCATTTCTCTCCAAGATTGTAAAAGGTGATGTTCTTGAAAAAAGTGTTTTAGAAAATGTTCTAAATCCTTTTTTAATATGAAATAAGAAGCCTTCATTGCTTATTAGCATACAAAGGGGTTTCTCAGTTATTTAACCTGGTAATCACTTAGCAATGCGACAATATTTCAATTGAAGGATTGACCAAGACTTACATGGCAAGTGTCGTCGATGAACACCTGGTCTTATTCTTCTGTATTTTTGTAACTCATGTTTATTTACTGATTTTGACTTTGTCAATATTCCAATGTATTTTTGACAGAAGGAAACGAGAGTTCTAGGGGTTTGCCTTAAAACCGACAATGAAGTATCTGAATTTCAAGAAGTCATTTTAGTCCTATAATACATGCCTTCGAAGGTTCATTAACGCTAGGATATCTAACACTGGTTATTGTAGGCGCTGAACAATACCTTGAAAATAAGATGCTTACTTATAAACGTGAAAGCTCACGATACGAACCTTCGGTGGCATATATAACTGGGCTAGAATTCACCATAACTTCCATGGCAACAAGACGCCTAGTGGTTCCGTTGTTGTTAAATTTGAGCATGTTGTATAACTGAGATTAATTGCTTATGACGGATGTCGTCGATGATGTTGAAGGCCTTTATTAATCCGAAAAACCTTTTGTTTTTTTCTAGTACATTTCATAAGGTCGCCGTATAAATATGTCTATGGTTCATATTTTAGCATCGTTTCATGAATAATGAGTTTTCCTGGTCCGCTTGTACATTCCCTGACTTCTCAAAATGACAATTTCTGAAACCTCACACTCACTCTTTTGTTATTACTAAGTATGACAATGACAATACCAATGTTGTATCTGTTTTATGTAGTGTTAAATTGAAGGGGTTCATAAACATCGGCACATGTATGAGATTGCAACAAGACACAAGCTATACAAACAAACAACAAAGACTCCATGGTAGAAATTAGCATTTATTTTAAATGACTGTTGAAGGTTTAATACAAGCAGGGTGTCATAGAATTTGTATAAACTTGGGACAAGAGCAGCTTTAGAGGGGGCAATTAAGATAAAGCTGAGGTCTTGAGGCTATATAATAGTGATATGTTAACACATAACATGTCCATGGTGTACAACCTACTCTCTAAGTTCTAATCATGAACGTTAATGTCTAACTATCATCACTAGACTTCAGTGAAAATAAAATCACTACATATCCTGTTTTTGAAATTTTCAATTTGAAAAACAGTTTAAATCAATTCAATGTTATTTTTAATGATATTTTTTGTATTTTTGTAGGACTAATATATCTAAAGGACATGATATGACTTAACATCACACAACTGGCTTTTTTTGTTCCATATAACATCCCACAACTAATGTGTGTTCCTTATGACATTCCACAACTAATGTGTGTGTTCCTTATGACATCCCACAACTAATGTGTGTGTTCCTTATGACATCCCACAACTAATGTGTGTGTTCCTTATGACATCCCACAACTAATGTGTGTGTTCCTTATGACATCCCACAACTAATGTGTGTGTTCCTTATGACATCCCACAACTAATGTGTGTGTTCCTTATGACATCCCACAACTAATGTGTGTGTTCCTTATGACATCCCACAACTAATGTGTGTGTTCCTTATGACATCCCATAACTAATGTATCTGTTCCTTATGACATCCCACAACTAATGTGTGTGTTCCTTATGACATCCCACGACTGCAAAAATCAAAGTTAAGTATCAATTTATAAATACACCAAGAAGGCTAGACATTCCCAGGGTTACTGTCCCATCCATTAATTTATTTTGGATGCCTATTTTGGAAGCCATAGTGGCGACAAATTCCTCAGAAATATATGTATCAGACTACAAACCCAAGAAAGCTGCAAGCCTGGATTAAGTTCTTAAACAGCCAAGGAAACACAAGTCCCTGGATTACTTGGTAAGTATTGATACTCAAGAGTTGTGAGCCAAAATGACTACAAATTCTTTGTTTAAGTGCAGCTTCTCAATGAGACCACGAATCTCGGATTAATGGTCGACACCAAAGAGACAAAAAACCCATTGAGTATCAATTAAAAAGAAGTATTGCAGTTTTGTGATGTAACATCTGGCATCGTACCGTGAGTTTATAGTAACTGTGGGACACACAACACATGTCGATTTAAAAAGTCTATGATACATTCCTTCTTCAATATAAATATAATGCAGACTTTTCGTAATAATTACTGATATGGCAGAGACTCAAAGTTCCGTATATATTAATCTTGCGATAAAATCATCTCCAGGACTGACACGCCCAATAGACCAACAATCAACACTATAAATATATCACTGATGAACTATTAAAATAAGTATGAAATAAAACACATATGACAAATAAACAGTTAAAAAACCTGATTACAATTCGCTGACATAAACAAGTGTTATTTTCAATCTCAAAATAAATAAAACACTTTATTTATATTAATATCGCTCCCAATATCATTCAACATTCCTTAATAAAAGTTCAAGTAAAAATTGTCCTTTCCTTTTAATGTAATTAAAGGTAATCCATCCTTCAAACTTTTAGACATATTTTTTTGGTTTTTATCATGTCGTTTGATGGCGCACATCAATATGCAAATTGACTCCCATAATTGCAGATTTACAATTACGAATTTCAATAAAAAATAAACTCACAAATTAAGACCACAATAAACTTAGTATGTGCAGTTCTTCGTCAGCTCACATGTTGTTATTTTTTCGCAGCCAACAGATATGTTGACATGATAAGAATTCAACGTGACATTCTTAACCATTCTGTCACTTTGTGTGATTATTGACTGAAAATATCATATCAACAAAATTCTTCACTGTTTCCAGGCACAAAAAAGTTCCCTCAAAAAAACTGAGTCATTGATTCTGTAATTAATGGTAATTACCCAGGATGATTGTGATCTTAATGTCTTTGTTAATATATATCTGTACAAGTTGCCCTGATGTTGTTTGGGTTCACAATGTTTTCGAGAGCGTCAGTCCACCGCATGTTAAAACACAGCATACTTATCACAATGTATGTTCAGTTCAGGCCTAAACGTAGTCTACCGCAACCTTCACTGCAAGAAATTAAAAAAAAACACAGATTGCAAGATTATTAAATGTCGACTTCGCCATACAAAGGGATTATCTAAATCAGAAACAACAAAGTATTAGTGAACTAAGATATTGTCTTACATGTAGTTATATTTTATATATAAATATTTACATAAATATATATGTATATATATATTGATGTACAATGTATTAATAAATAAGGGATATTTACATTACTATAGCTATAAGTTTTCACACCAATTCATTTATAAATAGATATATATAAAGATATCAGTATATGTGCTCGGAGATAGAGTCATTTATACATGTACATACTTACTACAACATGCAACATTTACCAAACCAAACATCAGTTTTTGTTTTCAGGTATGTAATCTATGGATTCCAGCACCACTGACAAAAATCTACAATTCTATACCTATGGAATGACACATTTTTTTCAGGAATTTAAAATTTGAACAAGACACTTCTTACTAGGAAACCTCTATTTTGAAGAATTTGCCACAAGCCTTTAGTGAATAGATAGAATTATGATTTTTCTTTTTAGAGGGGATGGGGGTTAATTAAACAAACAAAATTGTGTAACTATTGATATTTCTTCACAATGGAAATACTGATTGTCATTTGTCTGTATAAACAAAAAAAATAAAAAGGTACAGAACCTACATTTGTATTCTAACGGCAATTCTGAGAAAATGTTAAAAAATTTTTTTTGTCAGACATAAAATGTTGAGCCGAGAACATGTTGCTGCCCTGCTTCTCTTATGTATAAAACCATTCTATTTTAAACAGCTGACAAAATGATCTCCTGTCGATTCAAATTTTGAATTCAAAGAAAAATATTAAGGGGAAGTAACTCTATTTCTATATATAATTCTCTTTGTGTCAGGACATCAGTGGTGCAGAGATCACCAAGATTCACATATTGGAGAAAATGATTACTTATCATTACCAAAAAAGATTTGTTGGAGATTTTTTTTTCAATTTTGTTTGATTTGGTAAAATGCCCAGTGCTTAGAAGTGTTACTGGTGTGCTTCTGTACCGAAACCTGTCGCCATGGTGACTAAGTTAGGCATGGTGATGGTGAGGCTGCAGGAGAAGGCAAGGTCAGACACACAGAGGAAAGTCAAGCTGTCTGGTCAACAAAACTATCATAGTCATATGTCTACTGCTTACAATCATTTTAGGCATGTGTCTACAGTTACATCTATTTGCATATCCACATTGAAGTCCTCTAGGGGAAGGCACATGAAACCAATGTTGTATTCAATATTTTTGAAACTAAATTGTTCCCTAGTATACTCACAGCTATAAATTATTAATTATGATACTCCTGTTTTTGCAGCATATTACAAAATTTAAAAAAAAAAAAGGAGAGAGACAAATTATTTGAAAGAACAAATTTTGTAATTTTCAAACATTTCTTTCACAATGATGTATTTCTACACTAATATGATACTTTGGAAAAGATATGATGCATATTTAGATCAAAGAAAGTGAATTATATCCTGATTCAAAAAATAAATTGTTGGAATATCCAGTAGTAATGCTACGAAATAAAACATAATATTTATTAGATAAGAAATCTGTTATTATAGTTAACACAAAGATGATAAAATGTTATACATAGGTTTCTACTGTGTACAGATTAAAAGAATGTTCGCTGACTATAATGTATGTTTCATGCACCTACATGTATGATAGATAAACTCTCATGGTAGATCTAAGGGAGATAATCACTAAACATGCTCGGTAAATATTGTTGCTACATTTTTATGAGTAATTTAAGTGCAATATGAACCAAAATGCTGTTATGTATAATCACAGCTATTATAGATTCACACTTCAAGGGTACATTTTAATATTTTGATGCTCGAAGTTCTCTCAGAACAATAAACTGAAATGTATTTCATACAATTTTTTTAACATATTTGTAGCTGTCCAATTTGATGTGGAAACACATCTATTCTTTTTTATATAAAAATTATTTGTATTTTATTAGAATAATTAATTATGCTATAACTTTCAATATTATTTTCAACATAAAAATATAAATATTGTGACATTTGTGACTTAAAACCCACTGAGAACAATATTGATATAGTGTTGATGTTAAGTCAGTTGTTGACCTTGGTCTGACCTTGCCCTCTCACCTGCATTGCCTTCTTAATAAGTTGTAGTACGTCAATGTCTGCACATGGCGATGAACTTACAGCAACACTCAGGGTGAAGATTCCCTTGGCAGTGCCCTTTTCACTTCTAGCCTCCACACAGTACACCCCTGAATCTGTTACCAAGGCGGCAGGGATTTCAAAACTATAACTGGATCCTGATTGGCTGATTTTGAATCTACCTGTGTCATCTAATACTCTACCATCTTTGCTCCATAAAACTGTAACAAATAAATATACATTTCATAGAGTATGGAAAAGTAGGGATGAAAAATCGTCAGATCATCGATTCCAGATCAAAATTAAAAATGGATGGTAAAACATACATTGTGAGAATAATTCAGACCAAAAAATATATTAATAAACCACTATTAATATCACATTTAAATCCTTTACCTGTTTCTGCATCGTCTATTGGACAAGAAAACTGGACGGATTTACCCTCATCTACACTTTGTGAGTGAGGGAATGATTGAAACACAGGGCCAACAGGTGTCTCTTCAGGCACTGAAACAACAAACACAAAACCAACTTTAATAGTGATACTCTGGAATACAATAGTTTTATTTCAAGTGCCAGTATCTGACTTTAAATACCTTTTATTTTTAAGGTAGAAAAGAAATATGGCATAAAATCAAATTGAAAACCTAAGCAATGATAGTTCATGCTTAACGCAAATCTCAATCTGAATATTTTCATGAACATCTAGTCTGTCAAATTTGGTAATTTCTCAATATAATACTTGATTGCCTTATAGTGAGAGAATGTGTGCATGACACTGTTTTCAAAGATGGCTCCATTGTTAACAGAATACAACTGCCACTAGGTGTCACTGATAATCCACTGGAATATTTGCACCAATCAGAAAGCTAGGATTCAGCTAGTTCTAAAGGCTGTGACAACAGGCTGCAACAGCATTACATTTAGGCTAATAACATGAGATGGAAATATACATACCAGGAAATGGAAAATTGTTTACCTATTGTACTAGAAATTTAATGAATCTTTGTCTTCAATTTTATAAGCCGTACTCACCATCAACCCTTATGGAGAAACTACTGGAGACAGTTCCAACTGAATTTTTGGCTTCAATCCTATATATATCACTGTCCTCTGGAAACACTTCTACTATAATTAATTTGTATACTTCATCAGCATTCTCGTATCGGAAGTCTTCACAATCCACTATTTTTTCCTTTCCTCTGTACCAAGTCACCTCGGGGCTACCTGTGTACAATCAAAGTGACAGTCATGCACAAGTGAACGCATTTTGCACTGTGACCTGTTTAATCAACTGACAAGAGAATATATATTATGCTCTTTACACATATCTATTCTACAGTTTCTTCGTTTTCTGTTATATACGTATATGTTCTGTCCAAATCTTTGATGAAACACTGCCGATAACATAAACATAATTTTAGCATAAATTTTTTTTTTTTAAATGGTTTCCGAATACAACTGACAAAAGTTTTTTTTTTTTTTTTTTTCAAAGTTAAGGTATGTACCTTTTTTTTGTGTTGTTTTTGTTTGTTTTATTGCTTTTGTTTGTTTTCTTGGTGCATTGGTAGTTTTATTAGTGAAAAGGATCAGCATCAACCAGGATCAGGCTAATCGTTTAGATACTAAATAAAATTATATTTCCTATTTCCACCTTTTCTGTTTATGTTCAGAAACACTCAAAACAAGGAACATGGAACCAGCGACTTAAATTATCTAAATGCTTATAAAAACATGTTTTTTGTGAAATTAATAAAAACGACTTTAACATATAGCAGAAATGTGCAAAAATACCATTTAGCAGACAGTACTTGTCACCTGACAGACTTCACAATAACACAAAGGATTATCTCTACAGTACTTGTCACCTGACAGACTTCACAATAACACAAAGGATTATCTCTACAGTACTTGTCACCTGACAGACTTCACAATCTCTACAGTACTTGTCACCTGACAGACTTCACAATAACACAAAGGATTATCTCTACAGTACTTGTCACCTGACAGACTTCACAATAACACAAAGGATTATCTCTACAGTACTTGTCACCTGACAGACTTCACAATAACGCAAAGGATTATCTCTACAGTACTTGTCACCTGACAGACTTCACAATAACACAAAGGATTATCTCTACAGTACTTGTCACCTGACAGACTTCACAATAACACAAAGGATTATCTCTACAGTACTTGTCACCTGACAGACTTCACAATAACAAAGGATTATTCACAATAACACAAAGGATTATCTCTACAGTACTTGTCACCTGACAGACTTCACAATAACACAAAGGATTATCTCTACAGTACTTGTCACCTGACAGACTTCACAATAACACAAAGGATTATCTCTACAGTACTTGTCACCTGACAGACTTCACAATAACACAAAGGATTATCTCTACTGAAGCTTTCAACAGTATTTGATGTACCATACCTACATTCAGGGAGCTACAAACACATACAATCTGAAGTGGATATATCATAGAGCGTCTGTAGGCATTTCTTTGAAACTACAGGAGATATATAGGACAGTCCTGGTAATAGTGCAGGGTAATTTTGGTGAATATTTTCCCTAGATAGTGTATGAGCTGACAATACCACATACCAGAGATTCTACACTCCAGTCTAGTAGCATCTCCGTCCATCAGACACCGACCCAGGGGATGACTCAGAAATCTCGGAGGGTCCATAGACTTTTCTTCTTTCTTCGTTGCTGAAAACAACACAGAAATGATAAACCACAGGAAATGAATTAGATCAAAGTACCAGATATAAAAACATGCGACACTGATTTTTTCTTCTTGTGACAGACATCTTTGAAAATTGACAGATAAAAGCAAATGTTTTACAATGAACTTACCATTGACCTGTAGTGTGGCTTTGGAGGAGGAAGAGCCGGCTGAGTTGGTCACCTTACAGAGGTATGTACCTTCATCGTCAACAGAGACAGCGGCTATTGTCAGTGTACATATACCACCCACGTTCTTGATGGACACCAGGGAGTCACTTTTCAGTTTCTGATAACAATGAAGGATAATATTTGTTAAATCAAAAAATAAAGGGGCCAAAACTCTCAAAATATTTGTTTATTGATAAGTGCAGTCGAACCTCATTATCTGGAACTTGGCGGGATCATGGGAAACTTTTACATAACTGAGTATTCAATTTAAGTGAGTTCAAAGGTTTTGTGTAAAGTTAGGCAAGGACTGATGAAATGCTTCAAATAAAAGGGGGTCTTCGAATTATACAAGTTTGAGATAATGAGGTTGAACTGTACTCTTTCTTTCTAATTTCAAATTCGATATGTCTTCAGTTATGTTTTTCTTTTTTTAGATGCAATAACTCTGTATGCAGCTTTCTCTAGTGACATTTGGCTATAAATGAGCTCTGCTAATGAGCCATGACGACATAACAAACACTCTACACTTTAAAACTGTTGATATACATGACATTGTCTCTAATATAACCATATAACCATATGACATTTGTCAGTGAGACAGCACCTCACAACAGGAGGAGTCACAGAGACAACCAATCAACCAACCAAACAACCAACCAACAACATAACAACAGCTAGGATTTGTGAACCAACCAACAACATAACAACAGCTAGGATTTGTGAACCAACCAACAACATAACAACAGCTAGGATTTGTGAACCAACTAACAACATAACAACAGCTAGGATTTGTGAACCAACTAACAACATAACAACAGCTAGGATTTGTGAACCAACCAACAACATAACAACAGCTAGGATTTGTGAACCAACCAACAACATAACAACAGCTAGGATTTGTGAACCAACCAACAACATAACAACAGCTAGGATTTGTGAACCAACTAACAACATAACAACAGCTAGGATTTGTGAACCAACCAACAACATAACAACAGCTAGGATTTGTGAACCAACCAACCAACTAACAACAGCTAGGATTTTTGAACCAACCAACCAACATAACAACAGCTAGGATTTGTGAACCAACCAACAACATAACAACAGCTAGGATTTGTGAACCAACCAACAACATAACAACAGCTAGGATTTGTGAACCAACCAACAACATAACAACAGCTAGGATTTGTGAACCAACTAACAACATAACAACAGCTAGGATTTGTGAACCAACTAACAACATAACAACAGCTAGGATTTGTGAACCAACCAACAACATAACAACAGCTAGGATTTGTGAACCAACTAACAACATAACAACAGCTAGGATTTGTGAACCAACTAACAACATAACAACAGCTAGGATTTGTGAACCAACCAACAACATAACAACAGCTAGGATTTGTGAACCAACCAACAACATAACAACAGCTAGGATTTGTGAACCAACTAACAACATAACAACAGCTAGGATTTGTGAACCAACCAACCAACATAACAACAGCTAGGATTTGTGAACCAACTAACAACATAACAACAGCTAGGATTTGTGAACCAACTAACAACATAACAACAGCTAGGATTTGTGAACCAACCAACAACATAACAACAGCTAGGATTTGTGAACCAACTAACAACATAACAACAGCTAGGATTTGTGAACCAACCAACAACATAACAACAGCTAGGATTTGTGAACCAACCAACAACATAACAACAGCTAGGATTTGTGAACCAACCAACACATAACAACAGCTAGGATTTGTGAACCAACCAACAACATAACAACAGCTAGGATTTGTGAACCAACCAACAACATAACAACAGCTAGGATTTTGAACCAACCAACAACATAACAACAGCTAGGATTTGTGAACCAACCAACAACATAACAACAGCTAGGATTTGTGAACCAACCAACAACATAACAACAGCTAGGATTTGTGAACCAACCAACAACATAACAACAGCTAGGATTTGTGAACCAACCAACAACATAACAAAGCATTTGTGAACCAACTAACAACATAACAACAGCTAGGATTTGTGAACCAACCAACAACATAACAACAGCTAGGATTTGTGAACCCACCAACAACATAACAACAGCTAGGATTTGTGAACCAACCAACACATAACAACAGCTAGGATTTGTGAACCAACTAACAACATAACAACAGCTAGGATTTGTGAACCAACCAACAACATAACAACAGCTAGGATTTGTGAACCAACTAACAACATAACAACAGCTAGGATTTGTGAACCCACCAACAACATAACAACAGCTAGGATTTGTGAACCAACCAACCAACATAACAACAGCTAGGATTTGTGAACCAACTAACATAACAACATAACAACTAGGATTTGTGAACCAACATAACAACATAACAACAGCTAGGATTTGTGAACCAACCAACAACATAACAACAGCTAGGATTTGTGAACCAACCAACAACATAACAACAGCTAGGATTTGTGAACCAACCAACACATAACAACAGCTAGGATTTGTGAACCAACCAACAACATAACAACAGCTAGGATTTGTGAACCAACTAACAACATAACAACAGCTAGGATTTGTGAACCAACCAACAACATAACAACAGCTAGGATTTGTGAACCAACTAACAACATAACAACAGCTAGGATTTGTGAACCAACTAACAACATAACAACAGCTAGGATTTGTGAACCAACCAACAACATAACAACAGCTAGGATTTGTGAACCAACCAACAACATAACAACAGCTAGGATTTGTGAACCAACCAACAACATAACAACAGCTAGGATTTGTGAACCAACCAACAACATAACAACAGCTAGGATTTGTGAACCAACCAACAACATAACAACAGTTAGGATTTGTGAAGTCATTTACCTCTCCATCCAGGTACCATTCAACTTCTGGCTCAGGTTTCCCCTTAACAGTACAAGAGAATTTCAGGCGATCACCCTCATTTAGAATTTGAGCTTCCAGGTTCTCCTCAAATGACGGCGCTTCTTCTCTGGCTTCTGAAGAAAAAGAAAAAAAATTAATTTAATTACATTTAAATGTTACTATCATAAAATGAGCGGTGATTTCACTTATTTTCTAATTAATTTTTCAAACAGTATATCGTAATTATTATCAACTTATATACATTGTTTGATAGTGTCACATATAATTTAGTCACTACTTGTGACTTTTTTTTCTTATTTATTTTTCTTTTCTTTTAATAAAATTATGAAAAAGAAAAAAAAAGGGGGAAAAAATTTAACCAATATGAATTTTAAAAGCTTTTGATGAAATATGAACAGTTTAAGCCAAGCAACATAAGCTGACCTACACTGAAAATTGTCAGAATATTGTTAAGTACAACTCATTTAATAGTTTTTATCAGGTACATATCCTATTCAATGGAAAGTTTTTTAAAGATTTTCACTGTATTTTGGTGACAGTTCCGTGGGGTTCATGCGTGATTGGTACTTCTGTACGTAAATGGTACATGTAATGGCTTAGTATGGTAGAGTGTATAATTGGGTATAGATTTAGTGGAAAGCTATGTCAGGTTAGTAGTTTAGTAAATTATTACAGTCGGCAAACATTTATCAGAGAAGGTAAAAAAATCTCTGAGGGGAAAATGTAGAATGCAAGGTTTAGATTTGAACCAGGGATCTTCATATCTTTGTAAGGCTACGCACACTTCTTGGCTGGTCAGTTACACCTGGCAACAGTTAAAAATGGATTGGTAGCTGGTTAGGCAGGTAATGGAGGCAAAGTAATGACAACTATTATTAGGGTGAAATCTAACGATTCACATACTATACACTGGGATATACATTACATTCCAGGTCCTACAGTCCAAGTGCTGGATACAATGTACTAGCTCTTCTTGGTCCGCTATCGGTATAGCTTTTGGTCTTACAGGTGTGTAGAGAACACTAGTTCTTGAAGCAATTCTTCTAAGTCCTCCATAAAATCCTGTATCAGTTCCATTGTTCTTGGTCCTCCATAGAACCTGGTATTGATCCCATTGTTCTTGGTCCTCCATAGAACCCTGTATTGATCCCATTGTTCTTGGTCCTCCATAGAACCTGGTATTGATCCCATTGTTCTTGGTCCTCCATAGAACCCTGTATTGATCCCATTGTTCTAGGTCCTCCATAGAACCCTGTATTGATCCCATTGTTCTTGGTCCTCCATAGAACCCGGTATTGATCCCATTGGTCTTGGTCCTCCATAGAACCCTGTATTGATCCCATTGTTCTAGGTCCTCCATAGAACCCGGTATTGATCCCATTGTTCTTGGTCCTCCATAGAACCATGTATTGATCCCATTGTTCTAGGTCCTCCATAGAACCCGGTATTGATCCCATTGGTCTTGGTCCTCCATAGAATCCTGTATCTATCCCATTGTTCTTGGTCCTCCATAGAACCCTGTATTGATCCCATTGGTCTTGGTCCTCCATAGAATCCTGTATCTATCCCATTGTTCTTGGTCCTCCATAGAACCCTGTATTGATCCCATTGTTCTTGGTCCTCCCTGTTTCCTTGTACTATCCCATCCTTCTTCATAAGATCATGTTCCAGACTCTAAAGATGAAGTACTGGACCTAGTTCATACTCTTCAATAGTACACTGCTTTTCTACACATGTACTTTTGGTGTTTTTGATATGTAATATAATATTTTTGGTATGAACTGTGATGTCCTTGCATCTGGCCCCATAGAACATTTACCATTGTTCTAGATATCTCTTCCTAATCCAACATGCAGAGTGCTGCTATGTTGTAAGATATTCATGTCAATATTTCTTGTCTAATAGACAAGCTCTTTTTGACATGCATTCTATGTCCTTTAAACATGAGTCCTCCACGTACTGGTAACATTATTCTTTATCTCTGTCTTTGGTCCAACAGGATACAGGTTATTTGTCATATATCTTCTCTGGCTCTATAGGCAAAATACTTTGAGACCATGTTCCTAATCCTACAGCATTATATTACAAAACAATCCATGTTCATGCTATTGTGCTCCCAAATATAACATGGTTGGCATTTAAGGTCATAAGATTTAGTCTTAAGATATCTCTAATCCGACATGAACACTTAAAAGTTCAATGTGGGATTGTTAAACTAGATCCTACAGAATTAGTACAAGGTGGTTGGTCCATATTCAAGAATTATGAATAAAAGGAGAATTTCTCTGCTAGTAAATTTCAAAGAATCTCACAGAATATTGAACAATCTCTTTATCAGTTCTAAACAATTAGGTTGGTTCACTGGCCCAATGCATCAGGCCTTATATATTTCTGAATTCACATTACAAACAGGAAATTTTACTGTTCTATATCGCTTAATTCAGATGTACATGTACACCATTTTTATAAACACTTCATCACACAGATTTAACTCTGACCTTTCTTCCTGACCTTAGACCTTGATACTCTGACCTTTCTTTCTGACCTTAGACCTTGATACTCTGACCTTTCTTCCTGACCTTAGACCTGCATACCATTTCAACCTTTCAATGATTTCAAATTAACAGCCTGGACTTTTATAACTTTTGACTAATTCACTTGCCATTCTTCACCAATTTGAAATCAAAACTTCTTGTTTGAGCTAAATAACTTAGTCAAACTATCTTTCACTGACTTTGACTTTAAATCTCTTCTGTTCTTTGTAAGCCATCCATTGTTTATCTTTGTTACAAAAGGTTTTCTTGACATCTATACTATGTAGAGTACATCATCTATGATACAGCAACGTTGACCTTCCTGTAAAGTCTTTGACCTTTCTGTGTAATCTTTGACCCTCTAGTGTTCCCTTCCGCTTCCCTGACCTGCAGATTTTATCCATGCTTAAAAGATATCCCAGAATTACACATGATATTCTGGTCAATAGGTAACTTACATACATAGTGAATTCTATACGAGTTACAAGTGGTGACATCATTCATCGCTTTAAATATTACACCCCTCACTGGATCCATCACAACTGAATTTCACCGGATTATGCCCATGCTCAGGACTGAGCTCTGCATTCTCTCTAGTTTCATCTTTTCACTGTATAGGCCCACATTTGGGTATAATCATGTCCCCACTTTAAGGCCTTAAAATCCAACATGGCCTGCTAGTTTTAATTTTCTTTTACACTGAGTCTGATTCAGGAATTAATGACTTTGAGACTCTGAAAATATCCAACGTGACCTGCTCATTTTAAATTTTCCCTTACATGGGGCCTGATTCAGAAATTAGCCTGCCCCTCCCATTTTTGCACCTTTTTAACTCTCTTGCCCCACTCCGCTCTGGGTGTATACCTGGTCAAATGCAGTACATAAAGAAAACTAAATCAATTTTCTAACAAAACAAACTGATCAGCCATCACTGCCCGTTGTATTTCTATATTCTTGCCCTAATAAACTGGCACATCTATGCCAAAAGTACTGAAAAATTCTGACCAACAGATTGTGATCTGCATGGATAGTGAGGTTACAAATCTAGCAGAATAATAACATATATCATTGTGACTATAACTGAATTTCAGTCCTTTTTTTTCCAATCACATCGTACAGTTAGGCAAGAAAGAGCATCTTCCCATGGCGCTGAGCAATAAATAAGCAAACCTGAAGAAAAAAAATACTGTAGAAAACTTGTCTGGTTTTCTTCATTATTTTTTGTCTGTTAGGTCTGAATTATTTTATATATTTCTCACCCCAGGGAAGAGTTGTAGAAGTCTATGTCTATCTGTATATAAGTAAATCATTGAGCATTCAATATGTAGACTACATATATCTCCTAGTGAGTGTTAATAGGTTAATCTAAGTGACTGGGATTATACTAGGCTAGCTACTACATATTACACATCACCTACTGTGCTGACGTTGCTTACAATACGAGTGCAATATGAACATAACAGTGAAAGGGAAAACTACCGTTTCCCTTGTGTACTGTAAACACGTATGTGCAGAATGTGTTACAAACTTGAACATCAAAATCAAGAACTGTTTTTTCTTGTTAATTTATTAAACCTTTCACCTGCTAAAATGTTGCACCATTAGTCAAATTGAAAACCAAGAAGATGACACCCACAATGATGTTACAATATTTATGAGGTAAAAGCAATTCTTTCTCTCACTCCAATCACAGGAGTATGATTTACAAATATTAATATTTATAAGGTAAAGAAATCCAAGCTTATTTCTTCTCTCATTCCTTTCACAGGATCTCATATATATATAAAACAGAAAATACCGGATCGCTACAATGGAAAATAAATTCAAGCTTTCTCCTGATACAAAAGTCTTTAATATAATTTAATAAAGCAAAGAAAAAAAAAGAAAAAAAAAAGAAAAAAAAGCAAGCTTACACATATATTACTCCACGAAGGGCGGAGTATGACACAGTTATGTAAATGAAGCAGAAAACAGTAGTCACATCTCCTTACGAACAACTTGGAGGTGCATCTTTTTAAATTAAAGTTTATATAGGAGATCAGTCAAGCTTACTCATTCTCTCACTCCGTTTGGATGAGTATGAGCTGGAATCTTCCGACACTTCCTCAATGACACGACGTGATGACCTTGTGGTCGAGGTCACGGTGGAGGATGACGACTCGCTGAAATAACTGCTCGACTCATCAGTACCACCGGCCGTCCGCCTCACCATGCGAGAGGTGGATGATGTAAGGGTCGAACCTTTAGCGGTGTCCTCATGATGTGCTCGATCTGTGAAAAACAGTTTCTTATTTACTGTAAATCATTTCGTGTGGGATTCATTTTTGCATTCATATGCGAAGAGAGTCCATCGCGAATTCAAATCCCTCACGACTATTTGTACAGATATAATTCTAGATGATAACCATGTTGTTTTGGTTACCGATATTGGAGTCATTATACCTTATAGCTCATCATTTATGAATTTAAAGTAATTTCTAGGTAACGGTTCATGAAATCATGTATTTGTGAATCTGTCAGAAGAGTTATGTTTGTGAGCTAAAATAATCCTAAAATCTAAGCGATTTACAGCATATATGTCAACATACCATATGACATAAGAAGTATAAAAATATAATGTATTTTGATAAATCATTCATTACAAGATTTTGTATAAAGACCTCATATCATAGATATCAGAACCATGTAATATATCACAAAGTTTTTTACCATGTGGAAAAGACTTGTATATCCCACATCAATTAATTACACTACAATACAATGTACAAGATGACAAAGATTGCACAACTAGTTTGTGTCTTAATTATCCCTAAAGCTTTCTGAAGGAAAGAAATTAAAATTGTACCCAATCATTCTCAGAGTTTCCCTTCAAAGATTCATAAATCCCTTACTGAGCAAATCCTGAACTATGCTGAATCTTCAAAAAAAATAATATCCATACATATGTAATTCAGCTAAAATGACCTCAACCTGCGATACTGACCTTCTACGGTGACCTTGGAGCTTGTCTCGACTTTTCCAAGTTCATTGATAGCCTCACAAGTGTAGCGTCCAGTGTCATCCACACGAGCTGACAGCACTTCAAGGGAGGCCACTCCAGTCGAGTAGAAAATTGAATAATGCCGATCTTTAACCAAAGCAACTCCATTCTTGTACCAGGTGACCTTTAAATTAACCGAATGAACATCAATGCAAAAAATAAAAATTCATATTGAAGAACTTATGGTGCGCCTCCCATATGTTGTTCAGTGAGGAAGTTACCAGATATGACAAGGAGATCCTACCTCAAAATGATCCTGGTTGTTCATAGGAGAATAACGCTAGCAGGGTTTTTTTTATACATATCAATTATACACAACAAATAGTGACATCAAACTATACTGACCTTTGGTTGTGGCTGAGCTTGCACACAACAGATTAATTTGAAATCCCCTCCTGATTGGATGAGACGAGGTCGAAGGTCGAAGCTGAATTTAGGGGGTTCATCCCTTGGCGGCTCTGGAGGTTCTGACATTGCTCGTGACATCCTGAAGCAATGTTTAAGATTGTTTTAAGAGTACTGCTTTCTGTTTCTGTGAGATATTGACTGAATTGTGCTGTTCTTAATTAAAGCCTAAATATATTTATCTTATGTAATGTGGAATATTGAAGAAATCCTCTACTACAATACAATGGAAACTTGTTATCCCGAAAGTCAAGGGACTGTGAAAAATATTTGGACTTTTGAATTTTGACTCAAACAAAGTGTATAAATAAGGTTGACGATATCAGTTTCCTGATGTTGGTTACGGTTTGTACGAAGTAAGACTACCATAGCACACAGGCAGTGTGATTTTATCTGTTTTTTGAAATGGCAGTTAACATAACAACTCCAATCAAATGCAATTGTACTCACATCGTTCCGTCACGCACATGTGTACAATACCCTTATTGACCAAGCACATATACATCATATATTTTATGGAATGACAATGAAACGAAATTAAAATTTGCTTTTGATACACTACAAGAAACGATGTATAAAGCAACAGATTATATCAATATGACTTTATTAAGAATAAATAAACATATGAAAAACACAACCAAGCTGAATGTTTTGTGTAAACGCACTACATTTTTAATGTACAGGTAAATCACTGCTACAGAATGGTGACACAAATAAGAAATCAAACTTTTATTGGATAATTAAACTGGTAAATAATCGCCGGAGACAAATTGCTGTGTACACTATGGACTGATACGTCGTAATTAGACATGTGTTATGCACAGGTGACTTTCTACTTTGTGTAGGTAAGGACTGATTTCATCCAAAGACGAACCGATGTTTTAGCAAAAATTAACTTTGAGACAATGAGGTAGTTTTTTCTACAATTGAAGGGACTGAAAAATCACTTCAACTCAAGTGAAATTTTGACTCGATGAAATTTGAATCATCCAAACTCAAATTACAAAGATATAGAAGGGAAAAAAATCGAGACTTTAAAATTATTTAGACTCAAACGGAATTTCGACTCCAGCAATTTCAAGACAAGGAGTTTCAACTGTATATACAATGAACACATACCTTCTCATTGGGGTGGTGCTCCTACTGGGAGTCATTGGTGCCAGGACAGGCATGGCTGAAACAATATACAGGTAGATGTAAACAATTTGGTAAGTAAATGACATACATTTTGTTACATATTTCACATCTCTGGATACTATACATCTGCATTACATTTTGTCCAGCCTCCAAGTCAGACTCTAATACATTACAATGTAGAGAGACTCATTTGAGCTCAGACCAATAGGATTTAACGAAAAATCAAATGTGTTAAAAGAAAGGAGGAATTTAAGTTTCCAGGGACCCAAGGCTATCCCTTTAGTGTTCTTACATTCCACAGATAGATTGGCCTTTTCCTCACGGCGTCCGAAGGAGTTTTGCGCAATCACAGTATACTCTCCTTTGTCGTCTCCTTTACAACGGCTGACCTTGAGCTGATACTCATTTCCCAGGTACTTCTGCATGTACTTGACACTCTGGGTGAGCTGGAGGTCATTGAAGTGCCTGTAGAAACATAGAACAAACACTGACAGTACCTTAATACAAACTGTGTCATTACCCTCATACAAGTTGTCGAGTGATTGCTCTCATCCAAACCAACTCTGTGCCCTCATAAAAACTGATCAGTAACCTCATACATAATTTATCTCATACAAACCAATGAGTCAGACCTGTCAACATACAAATTTAGTTGATATCATCATACATTGACTTGACAAAGATATGTCTAGATGATACTAACCAGGTGATAATTGGTGGGGAAGCTGCGATGACCTTGCAGTCAAATCTTGCTGACTGATTCTCACCAACCACTACATTCCTGGGGCGACGAATAAACTTGGGGATGGCCTCTTTACGATCTAAATACAAGAAAATACATCTTATCTTTCATCAAACAAGAAAACATGTCTTGTCTTACTTAAAACAAGAAGACATGTCTTATCCTACATCAAACAAGAGAACATGTCTTATCCTACTTAAAACAAGAAAACATGTCTTGTCTCACTTAAAACAAGAAAACATGTCTTATCCTACATCAAACAAGAAAACATGTCTTGTCTTACATCAAACAAGAAGACATGTCTTATCCTACATCAAACAAGAAAACATGTCTTGTCTTGTCTTACTTAAAACAAGAAAACATGTCTTATCCTACATCAAACAAGAAAACATGTCTTATCCTACTTAAAACAAGAAAACATGTCTTATCCTACTTAAAACAAGAAAACATGTCTTATCCTACTTAAAACAAGAAAACATGTCTTGTCTTACATCAAACAAGAAGACATGTCTTATCCTACATCAAACAAGAAAACATGTCTTGTCTTACTTAAAACAAGAAAACATGTCTTATCCTACATCAAACAAGAAAACATGTCTTATCCTACATCAAACAAGAAGACATGTCTTATCCTACTTAAAACAAGAAAACATGTCTTATCCTACTTAAAACAAGAAAACATGTCTTATCCTACTTAAAACAAGAAAACATGTCTTATCCTACATCAAACAAGAAAACATGTCTTGTCTTACTTAAAACAAGAAAACATGTCTTATCCTACTTAAAACAAGAAAACATGTCTTATCCTACTTAAAACAAGAAAACATGTCTTATCCTACTTAAAACAAGAAAACATGTTTTATCCTACTTAAAACAAGAAAACATGTCTTATCCTACTTAAAACAAGAAAACATGTCTTGTCCTACTTAAAACAAGAAAACATGTCTTATCCTACTTAAAACAAGAAAACATGTCTTATCCTACTTAAAACAAGAAAACATGTCTTGTCCTACTTAAAACAAGAAAACATGTCTTGTCTTACATCAAACAAGAAGACATGTCTTATCCTACATCAAACAAGAAAACATGTCTTGTCTTACTTAAAACAAGAAAACATGTCTTGTCCTACTTAAAACAAGAAAACATGTCTTATCCTACTTAAAACAAGAAAACATGTCATATCCTACTTAAAACAAGAAAACATGTCTTATCCTACATCAAACAAGAAAACATGTCTTATCCTACTTAAAACAAGAAAACATGTCTTATCCTACATCAAACAAGAAAACATGTCTTGTCTTACTTAAAACAAGAAAACATGTCTTATCCTACTTAAAACAAGAAAACATGTCTTATCCTACATCAAACAAGAAAACATGTCTTATCCTACTTAAAACAAGAAAACATGTCTTATCCTACATCAAACAAGAAAACATGTCTTGTCTTACTTAAAACAAGAAAACATGTCTTGTCCTACTTAAAACAAGAAAACATGTCTTATCCTACATCAAACAAGAAAACATGTCTTATCCTACTTAAAACAAGAAAACATGTCTTGTCCTACTTAAAACAAGAAAACATGTCTTATCCTACTTAAAACAAGAAAACATGTCTTATCCTACTTAAAACAAGAAAACATGTCTTATCCTACTTGCAATTTTCCATATATCACACTCAGAATTTGGAAATTAAAGAATGTATTTGAGATAAAGAAATTTACTTAAAACAAAATATAAAGCATCTGAGGGCAGTAGCTTGATCAGATGTACTCACCGAAGTAGGCATCAAAGATGTTGTATTCCTTGGGTCTGTGTTTCCTCAGTGAGCTGTAGTTGGCAATACGACCAATAGCAGGCATGGGGGCTGGCCAGTCAGCCTGTCAAAAACACAACCATTTAGTCAGGGTATACGTTCTTATCACCATTATTTATCGTTTAAACATTGATAACATAAAGCATTGAGTCATGATAGAATCTTTGATAACAATCTCCATTGTAGGATAAGTAAAGATTTTTTAAAATGTGTTTCAAATATGAAAACAAACCTATTCTCTCTATAAGGTTTGAAACTGCATGAATTTGTTATTCCCTTATTTTTTATCAAATCTGTATGATAGATAAAAATTCAATTTTTTTCTTTCTTTTGGCTATCCGACAGCACCTGATTTTTAAGCATACCACAATTTCACTTAATGAAACAATGATATATACACATGCATAAATGTTTATAAGGAGTAGAGCTGTTGTGTTAAAATTGGACACACTGGACTGAAATTAATTACTCTTTCTTACCAATAGACAAACAGCATGCAATTTTCTAGACATGACATGTATCAGGTGAAAAGTAAACACATGCAGGTGAGGAAGGAAATGATTGGCTAGAATCCTACATTGATGGACGGGGAAAACAGGGGTCGAAGTTGAGTCCACAGGTCTCGGCTGTAAGTGTCCTGGACCACACAAATAGAAATCAATATTAAAAATCCCAACAAAAATCTGCATCTAACACAAATAAACAAGGTAAGGAATCTGTTGGTGTATAAAACACACTGTTAATCGCATTAAAGTCTATCTAGCAGAACACACTGCAAATATCTAATTTTACAAAAACCCTGGCACCATTCCAAATGATTTTCCTATAATTCATGAAAATTGAGTAATGTCAATGAATTTACGAAAAGACATGCAGGAATGGATGAAATCATGCTATAATGAGTTTACATTCTCAAGACAGCCAACAAATTTAATAAGGACTGTTTTTAGCGTGTTTAGAGCGATATGATACATATGGAAAAATGTTTTTTTAATATTTCTTAACATCATGAGACGATTAAACAAAACAAAAAATTCCCAGGTTCATATTTTACAAAGTTCTGCTGTTGATATTGAGAAAAACTACACCAGGAGTTTTGTTTTCTGCAATGTTTTCTTTGTGGCTTTCAGTTCATTTTTTTTTATAAAAAGACTTCTAGATTTCTATCATTATTTCTGATATAAAGTTAATTTTCAGGATGTGTTAATTTTTTGTACAAGAAATATGAGAGATTAAAAAAAGAAAAGAATCTCCATGCATGATTTCATTAGCGGACTAGTTGTATTGCTTTTTGGAAAAAAATACTCAGGAGGATTTCATTGCTTATGCAAATGATATCTAAAAATCAAGAAACTTATATATATCTACATATGTTGGTGCCATGGAAAGGGAGATAATTAATGTAAGCCAAGGGAGGTAATAAAAACAAAATAGGAAAACAAGGAAAGGTTCATTCCCTATGTATTCTATGTATCTAGTAAATAGGACAGCAGAAGCTTTATGTAAACATGCACATCACTTACATAGCGTTGAGCAATTCTAGCCCGGATCTTGTCATAACGACTGGATGGAATTCTGGTCTGGCGGTCACTAAGATCTCCCTGCAGAACAGTAAAATTTGAAATTAAATCACAAATATAGACACTAACAGCATTAATTACAGTGAATATTTTACATTTGAAATATTAAGCAAACCAATAAATTGATATATAAGAACAGGTGAATTATTCAGCTTTAGGTATATGGAAACTATGATGTTCTATATGTCAGCACGACAATGATTACTACACACTATATAAAATTCAGAGCATGAAGTGATTAATTAGCTATACTAACCTTGAGCCAAGCATGTTCCAGGCACTCATGTACAGTCATTCTCCTCCTGAAAACAAACAACAGTGAGAGGTAGAATCAATCATTGATAAAATCTTACATCTCCACCCTCAAGAAAGTGTTTAGCCGGCCAGCATCAGACTGCAGCCCCCACACGAGGGTTGAACTATCTATGTCTATGGAATATATTCATATTTTGGATATTTCCTAATAGATTTACAAACTTACTCATCACTGGTAAACAAAATTGACGACGTCATCCAATTGTTCCACTGAATTATGATGCCACCTTACATGTTGCCAGTATTCTTATCTTGTGTAAAACAGATCTTTCCCCTGTCTTTAAGTGATGACAGATTCTATTGATCGTTTCTCCTCCTGTGACATTTTATCCAGGGGTTGTCAGATACATAGGTACATACTGCTACTCAAACAGATTTTTTTTAAGTACTATATATAGCCATACATGTACTGTTTTTGTGTTTATTTTGTGATATGAATCATGAGTTGAAGCAACAAGATTCTTAAAAACTAATGTTTTTAAAAGATGATAAAATTTAAGTTTTGACATATACTGCAATTCATAGCTAAGGAGACAGGTTTGTGTCATGTGGGTTTTGAAGCACTCGTATCTGCATTTGTTTTTAACCATTACAATTATATAGTGCTTGTGGGTGTACATACGTAGGTTGTTTGATGAGCAATTTCCTGATGAAGTCCTTTGCCTCAGGTGAGATTGACGAGAACGCATCCTCAGCAAACTCCCAGTCGCACATGGATACATTCTGTAGTGTCTCCAGGTCATCCTCACCAGCGAAGGGAGACAACCCACTAAGCCTAAATAGTAAGATGTATTTCACATTGAACAAAATTCCTTCCTTGATTTGACAATGACTGTGTTTTAACAGTATAGCTAGATCAACATTAACAGATATCAAAAAGTGAAAATTATTCAATAAGATGGCAGCTACAAAGACAATCATAAACCTTACTAAGGATACTTTACTTACTTTTTATTATAACCAACATTCAAAATCATTATTCAATACACAGGTGATACAAAAATTTGTTTAATTCTTCTCTATTGCGATTATAATGAAAACATCTGAGTAAAATCTTACAAGACATAGGCCAGTACACCAACAGCCCACATGTCAGTGTAGAACCCAACATGTTCCCTGTCCACAATCTCCGGGGCGGCAAACTCTGCCGTGGCTGTAGTGACCTTCACCTTTTCATCAGGGTTGAGTTTGGTAGCAAGACCAAAGTCAATGATCTTTACACCTGTGCTCTTCTTAGTCTCACACATAACATTCTCGGGCTGTTTAGGATAAATGTCTATATTAATGACTGTACAAGAAAATTTTACTTATTAAAGAATTTAAACAGACCTTGTCTGAGGTCGCTTTATTTGCGTATGTAAATGGCAGGTTTTTTTTGATCCAACAGCCATTTTTTAAAAATGATATATATTTTTTAAAGATATTGAATTATTAAAGAAGATTACAAAGTAGTTGTACCATGAAGGAAATATAAGGAATATTATTGTATTTTAGAAAAGTCAAATCAGAATTAGATTTGTTTACCTTAATGTCAAGATGGACAATGCTATTTTCATGCATATGTCTCAGACCATCACAAACTTGTCGTATATAGTTGATGACCTCAGCCTCGTTCATCTTATAGTCATCAGCAGCTATTCTATCAAACAGCTCGCCTCCCGCCAAACTAAAACACAGAAAATTTAAGTCATCAACATCTATTCTATCATACAGCTCACCTCCCGCCAAAATAAAACACAGAAAATTTAAGTCATCAACAGCTATTCTATCAAACAGCTCGCCTCCCGCCAAACTAAAACACAGAAAATTTAAGTCATCAACATCTATTCTATCAAATAGCTTGCCTCCCGCCAAACTAAAACACAGAAAATTTAAGTCATCAACAGCTATTCTATCAAATAGCTTGCCTCCTGCCAAACTAAAACACAGAAAATTTAAGTCATCAACAGCTATTCTATCAAACAGCTCGCCTCCCGCCAAACTGAAGCACAGACAATGTAAGTTAAAGACCTGTTGACTTTATTCCTGAAACTGTAGGAGTTTATCATTCCATGACAGATCATGCTGAAATCAGACTATTCAGTGGTAAAGAGAACTTTTCCATACAACGACAGTTTCTATGTGAACTACAGTTAAATGATTTCAGTACATTAACGCATTATGATGTGGAGCACTCTTTCCTACATCTGATACTGCTACTTTTTGTAAGTGTTTATCATTGACAATGAACATAGTGAAATTAAATGCCTCACCAATATTACAAACTATACAGTATCTTTACTACCAATATAAGTTATAGCAGATTTCACACTCACAATTCCAGGACAAGAATCATCTCGTATTTGTCCTCGAAGGCGTCGTGGAGGGTGAGGAGTTTGGGATGGTGGGTCTGATTCATGATGTTAATTTCATTACGAACAGTAGCCTTGTCAAGCGGATAAGGAGTGTTGATGAACTTAGCCACAAACACACGTCCAGTCTTCTTCTCAACACAGCGATGGACAACACCAAAGGCTCCACTGCATAAACAGAGAATGTAAATGTAAACTGACAAATCGTCATCACTACATATATATATATATATATATGTATCCTCCTTACTTACTCACAAAGCTACATCCTATTATATATTTAGATACTTCTTTTGATCTGTTGTGAAAAATTGTACAAAAGACACACAAATAGATATCACCTTTAAATACAAATTATACAACTGTTTTGTCCCTCTAGGAACCTTCAGTAATGTTAAAAGCAAAAAAATTGTTGATGTCTGAAAAATCTTCAACAAAATCAACATGATAAACTGTAAAATATTAATTAATTGTTTGTGATAAATATAAAATTGGCTTTATCAAATATGAATAATAATTATAATAAACTTTATCTTTATTTTACAACAACTGCAAAGAAAACTTTTCCAACAAATGTTAATTGCTTTTGTTGGCCCGGATGGAAGCACACGAGGGGTCTTACTGTGGAAAGAAAACCAGAGTACCCAGGGAAAACCCACGTGGTCAGACAGGGGACCCCATACTTTTCACATCCATACATGGAATTGAACCCTGAATGGCTTGGTAAAAGATAGTGCTTTTACCACTGTGCCACCCAACCAGAAATTTGAATACACTCACCTTCCTAGCTCCTCCAAGATGTCATAATAATCATATATGTTGTCCTGTTTTACAGTGACAGGCTGGGGAACATATTTCTTCCATAAATCTTCATCTATAAACAAAGTTAAATGATATTTAACCACAAGGCTATATTGTAATCTACTTTGATGGGATTGGATACAACTACTTACTAGTATATACAAAATAGGAGGGATGTCGGATCTTTATGTACGGCTTATGGATATAGAAACTGTTCACAAAACTTAAGTCCATAGATAAATTACACAAGAAAAAAGTAAAGAATACCTAAGAAAGCAGCATCATCACCTCTAATGTTATGTACCAAATAGGAGGTAAAAGTTTTGTGGTGGGACACTGGAGCTGACTCTGACTCAATGGAGATATGAGAAGATAGTATAGGCTTAGTGTTATTCTGAGTCAGCTAAACAGAAGTATAGACTTACAGAATCTATCATAGTCAGCAATCTTTGGTCCTTTGCCTCGGATCTTTCTACCAAACTCATCTGTAAATGGAAAACTAGAATTAGTCATTGTACAACGTGTTTTATCAGTTATAGAAGCAATGACTGGATATTTAACAATGACACACACAAACCGGACACAAAACATACAAATATTTTTATCTTGTATCTCATATTTTTTCACAATGTCTGCTTACATAGTTATTCTATGTTTTGGGTAACTTCGACATTAAACAATAAGGTGAAGTTTGAAGTAATGTCTCCCTGAATACCATCTCCTTAAGTACGGATATCAACAAAGGGGCAATAACTCTGGAAATAATCAACCTGATTGATAAATCACTATTATAAAAGTTTGTTTAGCACAGACCAAAAACAAAAAAGTTCATAAAAGTTTGTGGATAGAGTTAACAATATAAAGTCAGAAAAAACTTTATAAAAGGATGTGACAAAAGGGACATAACTCCAAGGAAAATCATCGAAATAAAAAATAACTTGGCACCAACGTCTTTTAAAATGAGTGAAACATATCTCTGCCAAATTGGGTGATACCATACAATAGGAATTTCAAAAAAACTGAAAGGAAAACTTAATAAAACACTTTTTGATATTATTACAATAAATTCAAAGAACACAGACTGAAAGAAACTCTGTCAAACAGACACTCAAACCTGTCTATAAAGGCCATTTTGGGAGCAGCAAAACGTGGCCTTTACACACAGGTGACTTTTATATACAGGTTCAATTACTTTAAATTGCAATATATAGGGAAGCAAAAAGTGGTCTTTATAGACAGGTAACATTTGTATAAAGGGGGTCTTTTACACAGGTTTGACTGTATTCCACAAACCTTCCATATGTTTCTTCTTTTTCGATTCAATATCATCAGTTTTAATTGTAGCTGTAGGTTCACAAGGCTCGCTAAGTCCGTACAGATTCTCGGCAGCCACACGGAACTGATACTCCTTATTACTCTGAAGGCTTGTCACGTTATGGAATGCCATTCTGTAAAGATGGAACACATTCTCATCATTCTCCAGTGTTGGTTGACTGGTCACCAGTTATCCATTATGACTTATATTGCTAGGGTTTGTCTTATCAACAATACTCAAAGTTCTTTAGACATTATATAACCAGCTGGAGGGTACCTGGATATTTGAATGGTATGACCTTAGGACAAGACAACTCTAACTTCTATAAGATCAGGGTGATTTTTACCTTGTACTTGCGATGCGGACCCAGTGTTGAGCTGGGGGTTCACACTTCTCAATCACATAACCAGTGATGAAACTACCACCGTCATTCATGGGCGGTTTCCAAGACAACACAACTGAATCTTCACGAATATTTTCCACAACGGGGAAGCGAGGAGGATCTGGGCGGTCTACAAAAAAAAAGAGAAAATTTTCAGGTAAAAAAATATATTTTGATCTATTACATTAATGTTAAAGAATAATCTGAACACTATAATCAGTGAGCATGTATTTTAGAAATATCACAGGGAAGCCAATCGAAGGCCTGACTTCAAACAGATCACGACGCTAACAAAGGGAGACAATTTCCCTTCCTTTGTACATCTATACACTCCATTCATCTGTTTTCTGTGTCATTGAAGGGATCAATACCGACAATTTGTCAGACATTTGGTGTTTGTTTCAATGTATTGCATGTTTCTGGATCGTTACAAACTGATGTTCGGAGGTGATGTTGATGTTTTGTCATTAGCAGACAATGATAAAAAGAACGTTCTTCCTATTCAAAGTTCAGGGGCTAGTCAATCAGAATTATAGGACATCAGAGAAGATTTATCAGAACCCTTGAAAGTGTTTCAACAAACATGATAACATACTGTTATGTGGCATATCAGTTGTGAAACAGACCTAGATACGGGATAAATTTAAGAACTATACATACCGTTAACCTGTATTTTAATCACAGCTTCATCTGTGCCAAGGTCATTTTCCAAGATGATCCTGAAGGGTCCGTCATGTTCCTTGGTTGCGTGGTTGATAGTGAGAATGGCATGTCTCTCGCCCACCTCCTGGATGTAGTCCTTACCTCGCAATTCCTGACCATCACGTACCCATCGTATAGATGGTTTGGGGTTACCAGTGAATGGAATTTTGAGCACAACTGGTTCTCCCTTCTCGAAGGTGCTGACTTCTTTAAACCTTGCTGGAACATTGACCTTGGGAGGAGCTGTGGATTTCAAATTTTTTACATTTTGATTTGAATTAATCTTTGTGAATCTAATTCTTCATATGTATAATTTTTAGAGATAGTCAATTTTCATTTCAATGAAATTTGAGTATTCTTAATGACTGAACATCAACATTTTCAAACCTGTGTCAGTATATTTTTTAATCTTCATGTAAATGGGAGTTAATTCATTCTTGGTATTATTACAGCATACTCAATCTAGACTATGACTAAGACAACATATTTCTACAGAACTTTTTCTTACTACAATTTCTAACAACTCAAATATGAACAAAGAGACTGAGAACCATTACTTAATTACAAAATCATACTTTTGTCAAGAATGTTAAATTGTGTATTGACATTAACTAGGAAACATATGAAAAGAAACCTTATTAATAATAATACATACATTTGATTTCTAGGTCAGCTCTGGAGCCGCGGGATCCTGCCTTGTTTACAGCGCGGACAGTATATTCATCCTGATCCTCACCAAATACGTCCTTGATGGCCAACGAGTAGATGTTTCCATCATTGGTGATCTCATACCTGCCTCCATCATACACCTCACGACTTCCCTTAAACCTGTAAATGAAAAGCAGTCACAACTAATTCAAAAGTGATCAGACACACATATGTATTGTTAAACACTACTTAAAACCATTAAAATGTTGTGAAAATTTTAATCAATTAAAGTTGTAAAAATCATTAAAAGTAACCATTATTTTCAAGGTGTCACTTGACAGCAGTGAAATGTAATTCACAGTTAAATAAAATGTCTGTACATTGGAAGTAGTACTGGTATGTGTAATTCTGACTTACCATGACACTTCTGGTTTAGGAGTGCCAGTGATTTCAACCTCAAATCTAGCTGTTTTTCCAGCAACACATTGACTCTTTCTGAGTGGATGGACAAACTCTGGCAGTACAGCAGCTGTAGAGACAAAAGGGTAATGTTTCTTCTTAAAATAATTTCACACTTAGACAATTATAGAACATTCCTATCAGTCTGCATTACAGTTTTAACCATCCAGACACCAACACTTCCAGGACATGACTGCTTGCTGAGACCAGTATGTTATTTTGCAAACAAAATTTCACCTTTTTACAGAACATTGAGTAGTTTGGGAGTTTTTCTAATAATTCTGTAACCAGTTGATTTTTTTCTTTCTTTTTCTTTTTTAAGATTTCACTTTTTGAGGTCAACCTTACTCACCATCAGGGTCCTTGATCTTTACACTAGTGGATGCCATAGAAGGCTTGCTCATGCCAGCCTCATTCTCAGCAAATACACGGAATTCATATTGCTTGTCCTCAATCAGGTTGGGCACATTGAAGATGTTGGTGGTGCAGATCTGACTGTTGACTCGAGTCCAGTTGTCGGTACGGTGCTCCTTCTTGTCAATCCAGTATCCAAGGATACGACCACCGCCATCAGAATGGGGCTTCTCCCAGGACAGACTGGCAAAGTCTCCTCCCACCTGTGTTACCTCAGGTACACCTGGTGCTCCCGGAGCATCTGTCAGGTAAAATACAGGTAAGACAAATATAACATTCAAAACTGCTCACGGAAGACAGAGACTAATATCAGCTACCTAAAATTATCTTTAATCTTCAAGAAAATATTGTGATGTTACTTTATGTAAAATTCACCCTTTCCCAGAAATATGTTTGAGAGATCAGATATTAGGAAAATTTTCACGAACACATATGTACAATTATGCCACATACCAAACTGCATCTTGGCAATGATGGGGTTTTCAGCTTTGAGCGGTTCGGATTGTCCAAATTCATTGACAGCTGACACTCTAAATAAGTACTGGTTGTTTTCAAACAGCCCCTGAACATCCTGCTGGGTGTCCTGAACACATAATATACAGAGATATCAATGATTACTTTTCAGTCATAATGATGATAATACATTTACCATAATATTTAGCTTTTGTCATAAACAGTAAGCAGATCTTTTCCACAGTTGTCTCCCTTACCTTAGATGTAAATTTGACACAAAACATTTGTAAACTTCAACAGTTGTCTCCCCTTCTTTTTTATGTTGACATTTGTCACCCATATTTTATACACCAATAAGATTTGGAAAGACATCAACAGTTGTCTCCCTTACCTTGCAGCGTGAGGACACAGTGACCCAGTAAGGTTTGCCAATCTCCTGTCGTTCTACAACATAGTGTGATAACTTTCCTCCACCAAGTTCCCTTGGAGCCTTCCAGGAAAGACTGCATGTGTTTTTGGTGATGTCTGAAACTGCCAGGGGTCCAGTTGGAGCTCCAGGGGCACCTGTGAGGATAAAAAAAAACCCACCAAAATAAATGTTAATATATAATCAAAAGTAAATCAATAGATCACATTCATCAAGACAAACTAGATATCAATCCTGGTATATTTAGATCTTCTCTTGAAATATTCCTTTTCTTCCCAGAAATTATTATCTTCCTGCAATATACACTTGATCTGTCGAGTATAACATACATACAACAAAGTCCCAGAATTAATAGCTATTTACAATGCTGAAAAATAATGACCTCCATCACACAAACCACTGTGAACAATAAAAAGAAAGGGGAGGTAATCCCAGTTACTTACTGACAACTCCCAGCTTGAAGCCTGTACTAGCAGATCCACTAGCATTGGAGACCTTAACCTGATAGGCTCCAGTGTCATCTTCTACAGATTCTGTAAGGATACAGTTTAAAAACATTACAATCACTAAAAAGAATAAATATTTATACATTAAGGCCAATAATCCACAGAACTACAACAAAAGCAGTCTTTTTTACCCCGTCAGGATGTGTTTTCAGCAGAATTAAGTCATAAAATTTGAATTTATCTAATCTAATTCTATTTTCAAGGAATATATTTTTCAGTTTTATTCTATCATTTGACATAGTGATATACTGTAAAAACATGAATTTTCATTGGTTTTATGGGTACCCTCAATCCACATATAACATGATTTATTTTTGACAAATACAAGAACTAATACTGCTAATCAAAGGTTTGAAATGTCGTGGTGATATTGGCAGATGCTATGTGGCAGGCCTCATCTTCCTTTATATTAATATACTGTAATTCCAAAGCAATCTAATTAATGTTTACATGGAAACTGAAACAGTATTTACCTTTAAGGACTAATACAACATAATCATCAAATTCTGTGACCTTCACACGGTTATCTTGTTTTAATTCACGGCCATCTTTCAATACATTAATCTCAAATGGTCCTGTTCCACTGTAAGGAATCTTGAGTTTGAACTGATCTCCAAGTTCTACCTGTTTGTCTGGTAGTGACTTCTCCATTCTGGGAGGAGCTGAAACAGACATCACACGTGATCATATCGCATACCTGGTGGTTACAACAAAAATTTCATAAGGAAAGACTCAATTTTGCAGGTAAAGCAAAGTTAAAAATTTACCAATGTTTGTTGAAGACAGTACTTCAGCCACCAGTTTTGGATAAGATTTTTGTCAGTTCACAAAAGGAAAGTAAATTCAGCAGAAGTTTTGCATGGACACCAAAAAAGCTTATCCCGTGGCGCGGGGCAAATTTCTGTCTACTTTACATAGAAGTAAAATGCATATTTGTAGGTTTAACTTACACAAGACAGCGAGTTGGCAGGAACAGGATTCACGTCCCAAATTATTTGAAATTTCACAGGTAATCTCTCCAGCATCACTCTCTCCAACGTCAGAAAGAGTAAACATGAAATTGTCATCATTCTGTGTGAGCTTGGTGCGACTGGTATTACCAATAGGAACACCATTCTTATACCTAGGAAACAAATAAGACACATCAGAAAGAGTGAACATAAATGTATCGTCATTCAGTGTGAGCTTGGTGTGACTTATGCAAGCTACAGGAACACCATTCTTTTTCCTCAAAAACAAATAAAAAAACATCGGAGTTCAAGGTAAATCCCAAACACTTTGTATGACAAATCATTTACTGCATTTTTCACTCTTTACAATAGATTAAGTATCTTTTTTCATCAAAAAGAGCATTGGTCAGCTATAAACTAAGTCCTAACAATGGACAGCTTATTACAAAGCAGATTCAAGTTTTTGTAATTCCTTTATATGACCTGATGCGATAAAATCCTGCATTTCCATTAAAAATAGAAATCCAATTTACATAAAATTCAGACGAATAATTCTAAATATACATAAACGAGGAATGCATTTTGAGTAAGCCGACATACCATGTGACTTCAGGCAGGGGTTTGCCATGTGTTTGGATGGAGAATGTGACCTCTCCACCAAGAGGAGCTTTCTCATTGTACAGCTTCTTCGTGAATTCAGCGGGTGATCCAACTAGAAACACGTAATTACGAAAAGGTAAATTATACAGTATTTTTCTACAATCACCTGGCTATCACAACGAATTTCACTCCATATTTCCTAATGCATGGCTATCTGTGTGTTGAAATATGAAAATTATGTATCAATGTATCTAGTATTCATCTCACCAGTTAACATTAAACTATCTTTCCTTTCTTCTTAACCTTTTAGACTTTCTGAGAGGAAATATTTTAATATTGTCCAGGAGCACGTACCGACAGGCTCCTTGATTTTGATTGGTGCAGTACTCATACTGTACTCTCCGACACCGGCAGCAGTGACAGCTGCCACACGGAACTCAAACTCTTCTCCTTCTGGAAGTTCGTTGATTGTGAAGTATGGTTCACGCACGTTGAAGTTGTTAGCCTTAGTCCATGTGTCTGAGTTCTTAGGCTTTTTCTCAATCACATAACCTGGAAAAAAAATTTCATTAACTTTCACCAGTAATTATTGTAATTTCTAGCAATAAGGCCCATGACTGTTGTGTAAGCCTACCTACACCTACAGCCAACAAATGTTTCATCATTGCAATGTGATGTAAGTCCATGCCTCTACATCAGTGAAGAAACATGTTTGCCTAGCCTTTAATAACATTCCTTACTTTTTCTTGGTCAGCTTTGCATGTTTAGAAGTAAATACATTTAATCTTTATTAGCAATAAAACTTTATTTCTACATAATTTGTTAAACTTCCCTGTTTACTTGATAAATGCTTTAGATCTAAACATATTTGTTGTATCTTAATAAGTCTAATAATCTGTTTCTAATACATTGAGAATCACATTTTCTGGTACAAGATTGTATGTAGTTCTCTCTGCCACTTCGGAGTTGTTTTCTACATCTTCGTTACATTAAGATATACTTACCAGTAACCTTGCTGCCACCGTCATTTGTGGGTGGATCCCACTTGAGATCAATGTATGTGCGGCCAACAGCAGAGGCTACAGGAATACCGGGTGGTCCAGATTTTCCTGTGGATAAAAAGGGGAAAAATATATATATCAAATTCGATTGTGACACAACATATAGGTATAAAAACCAAAAAGAGGCAAATTTTAATTTTATGATAAAGTCTGGTTTATCATTGCTTATGTCTAATTACCAGCTAAGGTCATTTAAGGACATGCCATGTTTGGGTGGTGAAGGAAAGCCGGAGAAAAACCACCGATCTACGCCCAGTACCTGGCAACTGCCTTACATAGGTCTCAAACCCATGACCCAGAGGTAGCTGGCTAGTATCTTGGACAGACACCTTAATTGCTCAACCATGATGGCCCCAATATGATAAGGTAAAAATTGAAAATAATAAAGTATACCAGGGAATCTCTATAACTGAATGAACAGTCTTTTTACTTAGATATAATTGAACTACAAGGAAACACATCTGTGAATGGGAGACAACTCTACTCACCATATTTAGGTTTGGGTACAACTGGGCCAATCACTGCGCTCGGTTCTCCAAGACCTGCCACGTTCTTTGCCTTTACACGGAATTCATACTCCTTGTCTTTCTTCAGTCCAGGTACTGAAAGCAAACGAAAAACACAAAAGTTTAAAAGTTGATACACTAAAAATGTTCATATTTCAGCACACTGAGAACAAGAGTTAAAGAAAACATCAACTGTTATGTATTTAACACAAATACTTCTACATTTGAATCAATAGGTAATAATATCTTAGTCTTACGACCTTAATTGCTATCTTACTTAAAGGTAACAAGTATATCATTTAAGGCCTGTTTTATGCTATCTTTCTCAAACCGTTTTACCTGTGAAGGTAGTATCTGAAACTGGAAGATCATTAGCAGCCTTCCACCTGCCGGAGTAGGGATCAAGGTATTCCACAACGTATCCCTGGATCTTCTTTCCTCCATCACTTTTTGGTTTTGTCCAGCTTAGTGTGACTGAATCCTCATCTACATCCTCAACAGTTGGCTTACCAGGAGAATCGGGAGCAGCTGTCAAAAGCAGACATTAATACAGAGTTAAGTCATAGCACAGGGGCCAGTCATTACACAGGGGCCTGTCATTACACAGGGGCCTGTCATAACATAGGGGCCAGTCATTACACAGGGAGAAGTCATTACACAGGGAGAAGTCATTACACTGGGACCAGTCATTACATAGGGGCCAGTCATTACACAGGGACCTGTCATTACACAGGGAGAAGTCATTACACAGGGACCAGTCATTACACAGGGAGAAGTCATTACACAGGGAGAAGTCATTACACAGGGAGAAGTCATTACACAGGGGCCAGTCATTACACAGGGGCCATTCATTACACAGGGACCACTCATTACACAGGGAGAAGTCATTACACTGGGACCTGTCATTACACAGGGGCCTGTCATTACATAGGGGCCAGTCATTACACAGGGAGAAATCATTACACAGGGACCAGTCATTACACAGAGACCTGTCATAACATAGGGACCAGTCATAGCACAGGGGCCTGTCATTACACAGGGGCCAGTCATTACACAGGGGCCTGTCATTACACAGGGAGAAGTCATTACACAGGGAGAAGTCATTACACAGGGGCCAGTCATTACACAGGGACCTTTCATTACACAGGGGCCAGTCATTACACAGGGACCTGTCATTACACAGGGGCCAGTCATTACACAGGGACCTGTCATTACACAGGGAGAAGTCATTACACTGGGACCAGTCATTACACAGGGGCCAGTCATTACACAGGGGCCATTCATTACACAGGGACCACTCATTACACAGGGAGAAGTCATTACACTGGGACCTGTCATTACACAGGGGCCTGTCATTACATAGGGAGAAGTCATTACACAGGGACCAGTCATAGCACAGGGGCCTGTCATTACACAGGGGCCAGTCATTACACAGGGGCCTGTCATTACACAGGGAGAAGTCATTACACAGGGAGAAGTCATTACACAGGGACCTGTCATTACACAGGGAGAAGTCATTACACAGGGACCAGTCATTACACAGGGGCCTGTCATTACACAGGGACCAGTCATTACACAGGGACCTGTCATTACACAGGGAGAAGTCATTACACAGGGAGAAGTCATTACACAGGGACCAGTCATTACACAGGGGCCTGTCATTACACAGGGGCCAGTCATTACAAAGGGGCCATTCATTACACAGGGACCACTCATTACACAGGGAGAAGTCATTACACTGGGACCTGTCATTACACAGGGGCCTGTCATTACATAGGGAGAAGTCATTACACAGGGACCAGTCATTACACAGGGAGAAGTCATTACACAGGGACCAGTCATTACACAGGGGCCTGTCATTACACAGGGACCAGTCATTACACAGGGAGAAGTCATTACACAGGGACCTGTCATTACACAGGGAGAAGTCATTACACAGGGGCCTGTCATTACACAGGGGCCTGTCATTACACAGGGACCAGTCATTACACCGGGACCAGTCATTACACAGGGAGAAGTCATTACACAGGGAGAAGTCATTACACAAGGGCCTGTCATTACACAGGGACCTGTCATTACAGAGGGAGAAGTCATTACACTGGGACCAGTCATAACACAGGGAGAAGTCATTACACAGGGGCCTGTCATTACACAGGGAGAAGTCATTACACAGGGACCTGTCATTACACAGGGAGAAGTCATTACACAGGGACCTGTCATTACACAGGGAGAAGTCATTACACAGGGGCCAGTCATTACACAGGGAGAAGTCATTACACAGGGAGAAGTCATTACACAGGGACCAGTCATAGCACAGGGGCCTGTCATTACACAGGGGCCAGTCATTACACAGGGGCCTGTCATTACACAGGGATAAGTCATTACACAGGGAGAAGTCATCACACAGGGACCAGTCATTACACAGGGACCTGTCATTACACAGGGAGAAGTCATTACACAGGGACCAGTCATTACACAGGGGCCTGTCATTACACAGGGACCAGTCATTACACCGGGACCAGTCATTACACAGGGAGAAGTCATTACACAGGGAGAAGTCATTACACAGGGCCTGTCATTACACAGGGAGAAGTCATTACACAGGGAGAAGTCATTACACTGGGACCAGTCATAACACAGGGACCAGTCATTACACAGGGAGAAGTCATTACACAGGGACCAGTCATTACACAGGGAGAAGTCATTACACAGGGACCAGTCATTACACAGGGACCTGTCACTACACAGGGACCAGTCATTACACAGGGACCAGTCATTACACAGGGACCAGTCATTACACAGGGACCAGTCATAACACAGGGAGAAGTCATTACACAGGGAGAAGTCATTACACAGGTACCTGTCATTACACAGGGAGAAGTCATTACACAGGGAGAAGTCATTACACAGGGACCTGTCATTACACAGGTACCAATCATTACACAGGGACCAGTCATTACACAGGAATGTGTCATTACACAGGTACCAATCATTACACAGGGTCCTGTCATAACACAGGGAGAAGTCATTACACAGGGAGAAGTCATTATACTGGGACCAGTCATTACACAGTGACCAGTCATTACACAGGGACCAGTCATTTCATAGGGACCAGTCATTACACAGGAACCATTTTTTACACAGGGACCAGTCATTACACAGGGACCTGTCATTACACAGGGACCTGTCATTACACAGGGACCAGTCATTATACAGGTATCATCATTACACAGGGATTTTTGTTGTATAGGGATAATATTTTAGTTCCACATAATCAAGCATTCTTCTACAAGTCTTTACAAGCTTCTTTTGTAAAAAGAAACACACTTTGTGTTCAGTTACACAAGACTAAACCAGTACACACAAACTTACTGTATGGATGTTGAGCCACCACTGATGTTGCTGTCTCTAATGGCTCACTCACACCATGCTCATTTTCTGCCATGACACGGAAACAGTACTCATGGCCTTCTACGAGGTCCATGACTTCGAAACTTGTGCCACGAGCATATTTGCTAACACTTTCCCAGTTACCGTACTTCTTGTCCATCTTTTCCACACGGTAGTTGGTGATGGGACTACCACCATCATCCTAAACAGAGATATCCAGGCTCAGCAAAAAGGGCAATTGCAAATAATAGAGGAAGCATGGTCAGTGTCTTAATATATAATCTGTATTTTGGTGAGGGTGAATTTCTGTTTGGAGTCAAAATATAACTTATATTTTAAGACACTTACCATGTATTCTATTTATCCTGCAACATTGATTGAAAATCTGACTTTTGAAAACTTAAACAGTTTTGTTGTTCAATCTGTGTTTACCTGACATTGATGTTACACTGAATTTTGCCTGATGAAAGATGCCAAAATAATTGCTTCCTGCGGAAACATAGTTCCAAACTTCATGAAACATAACAGCGATTTTATGAATTTTCATAATTCAACTTGTTCATTTCAACATAAAAAAATTGTTTATTTCAATAACTATTTATATTTCTTAACAGAATATTTCACTAAATTTAGAGAGTAATTCTGTTAAATTACCGCATGTGTTAAAATACTGCTGTTTTCTGTTACTGCTGAATACAGTGACAATATATGTAGCAGGTGAGTTCCGACAATGGCAGTGTCAGTTGTAGGATAAATCTCTGTATATTCATCTTCCTTTATAAAGACTATTATATAAACAAAATGTATTGTTGTAACGAAGGATGACCTACCCTTGGTGGGTACCATGTCAGCTTGCATGAATCTGGTGTGATGTCATTGACCTCCAGGGGACCTTCTGGTTTGCCTGGGGCATCTATAACATACAGAATGTTACCATAGAAACAAATAAATATTTTATCAAAAAAGATGCATTCAGTAAAAAAATTAAGCATATTCGAAAAAAAATAAATATATTTTTTCTTATATTCATTCTTTAAATTCTTTTCAGTGATGTATGAAACAGAGGAACTGTGTCTATTTATAGCATGTGTTCATTTGATTTCTTGTAAGATAAGATATAAATCATTACCTGAACAGACTCTAATACTATTTCAATGTTTAGAAAATTTTCTGTGTCAATTGAGCAGGTAATGAAAAAATGACCTACCAACGACGATTACGTTGACGTAAAGTGAGTCAAATCCCTTCTCATTCTGTAACATGATGTTGTACTTTCCAGCATCACTCTTCTTGGCTGATTTGTTGACAAGCTTGACCTCCGTGGGGTCATTTGTAAACTTGATACGGCTATCCTCCAGTACACTAACGCCACTCTGTGGAAATGAGGAGAAGAATATGAAATGGCATTCATAGGGCAATAAATCCAAACTTTGTAATAAGCATATCAAGTCTATCATAACTTTGATCAGAAATGGTCCTGTAATAAGCCCACCTCCTTACTAAAGTGTTTAAGAATTTATTCTAAATTTTGTCCTAGTTTCATTTCCTCTTTGTCAACTATACAAGCTGTGAAAAGCGTATAGAGTACTTACAAGGCTCCATGTGGTTTTAGGGATAGGGTTTCCAATGTATGGGATTGCAATCTTGAATTCTTCTCCTGCCTTGGCGATAATGTCACGAGGAATGTAGTCAGGACTGACCTTGGGAGCCACTGTGGATTAACAATGCAATCAGATTTTATTCTTTTTTATTCTAGATGTTAAAAGGTATAGGATTGATCAATGGACCTGTGTTGTCCCCTCGATATGAGAGCAAAATCAGTATTAGATCAATTTCGGGATTTTATCTAAGTGTAAAGTCAATATTTAGAGTAGGACTAGGTTACCTGGAGGAGCCCTAGCCATGATGGCGTCAGATGTCATAGCGAAATCACCAGGTCCAGCCTCGTTGACAGCAGCCACACGAAACTCGTACTCTTTGCCATCCTGAAGACCTTTGCAAGTGCATTCATTGTCAGCAACCTCTCCATAGGTAGCCCTATATGTACATAACAAAGAATAACAGATTATTTTTATACCATCAACAGCACTTCATTGGTAATCTGTCACAGACTGATAAACCAAGAACATGTCAGTTTTACATTCATTCACAGATTAAAAGCCAGAATTCTATTCTTAGTAGTGGATGTGTCACCACAAAAAGCACAAAGAGGATAAACAAATATATACCCTTCTGACCTTGACCTTTGATCTCCAGCAGAGCAATTCTTTGCCAGCAATTTCAATAAAACAAACTACTGTATGGTATCTGGGTAACCTCAGTGCTGCCTTTGTTCTGATGGCAGACACCAACATACAGCGACCTATATATGTTGCCTTTTCAGGCAATAGAACACCTATATTCCATACATGTATAGGAAATCCTATTTTAAAGATTCAACTTTTTTTTTTCTTTCTTGCTTTCCTCAAAATTGCATTTTAAACTTTTCTATAAATATGAAATGATTGATATTTGGCATCCAACACGATACTTACTTTGTCCACTTGTCGTCTCCCTTCTCACGCTTTTCCACGATGTAGCCACGGATAGGGTTGCCCCCGTCACGGCGAGGTGGTGTCCAGGTCAGACTGATGGAGTCTTCTGTAGTACCAGTACACTTGGGGGTTCCTGGGGCACTGGGTGTGTCTGTACACAGAGCAAACATTCAGAGATGTGAACAAATGATAAGTTTTATGTATTATAACATATCTGTGGATCATAAATTGCCTGGCAAATCAGGAGTTAAAACTCATTCAAAATGAAGCTTGTAGTCACATAAAAAAGGTAGCAATTTTTATGCATATTATAAAGTGACATATGGAAACAAGGGTCTCATCCTGTAATACTGTGGTTCTGAAACCTGTTTTACACAATGAAACACAGTCAAACCTCATTACCTCAAACTTGATTGTACCATGGGGAAACTTTGAGATAATCGGTTATTTAATTTTTGAGTGATTTCCAATATTAAGTGTAAAGGCAGGCAGAGACCAGCAAAATGCTTCAAAATAAATGGGGTCTTCAATTATATGAGTTCGACTTTATTATACAAATTAGTACTTAGAAGCAATCAGAATATTTTCAAGCCAAAGGAAAAAGTAACAGCAACTTTCACTGTTGTAGACACAGAAGCCTTCCAAGAGAAACTGACATACAGAAGAAAATAGGAGATGTACCTTGGAAAGTCTGATATTGTGCACAGAGTGACCAGGGTACAACCAGCAGGATACTGGAGGTACAGATGAGAGATTAAGTAAGCCGAGATGTAGAATTTTAAAAGTCTGTAAATTGATGTTATTTATCATAACATCTTTTATATCCTAGCAAGTAACGACTTGAAAAAATAACGAAGAAAATTATTTTTTTATACACGAATTCGTACTTGTGATATCCTATGCATAAACAATGATACATGACAAACATTACTGGTACAGAAGCTATCAAATCGTGCAACACAGTTTCTGACTACATACCGAAAGGTAGTTTGGCCAAGATGGCCTCATCAGTTTCCAGTGCATCACTGACTCCCAAGCTGTTTTCCGCCATCACACGGAACTCATACTTGGTGCCAGGGTCCAGGTTCCGGACTACACATCGAGGTGTTGTGAGGAAGCTGCTGACCTTCATCCACTTGTCAGTTCCATCAACACGTTTTTCCACGATGTAGTTGTTGATAGGCTCACCGCCATCGTCCTTAGGAGGATTCCATTTCAAGGTCAACTCATCTCCGTTAATGTTTGATGCAGTCAATGGACCAGTGGGTCCAGCAGGCCTATCTGTAAACCACAACACAATGGACATTTCAGTGGTAAAGTATCATGACACAACCATATTTAATATTGTCTGTCTCAGATGAAGATTTTACGACATTGCTAGTATAAACTTTTTCTATATCATTTTCCCCTTCTAATAAAAGAATTCAAAGTAAAGCAAACCATCTTTTTTCCGCACGGAATTTACCTTCCCAAATTTCCAGACCGAAACAAACTCATAAAAACAAACCAGTAAACAAGGATTTTAATATAGTCTTGCTGCAAATTTATTGCTATGTGGAAATGGGGAAAGTACTTCGCCATAAAAGAAAGTTGGTTGACAGAATTCGTGATCATACATCTTTCTTTTTTTCTCCATTGACCTTACCAAGGACTTTAACACCAAGGGACACAGACTCTGATCCAGAAGGATTCTTCAAGGTGACCTTGTAGCGACCAGTATCTGACCTCTTGGCATTAGCGGTAGTCAACATGACACAGTCATCCTTGACCTACAAAATAAATGTCATTGCCTCAGTCTATGATGTGTCTTGTAAACTTTACATTCACAGGTCAGTTAATATTTGAAAAAATGATATCAATATTTCAAAATAAAACTTACGAATATCTTGATCTGCTACTAATTGAAAAAATTATATAAAAAATTAACCCTCAGGCTGAGTTACTACTAGTGTTCAATTTCGTTGTTGTAAAATTTTGAAATTTTTTGTATAAATCTTAGGTGCTGGGGTTTCATTTTGTGAAACAAAGTATCTCTGGTGAGTGACTTAAAATGACACCAGGTTGTATAACCATTGTTCACAAGGTGAAAATATTAGTAGCTATTCACTATAGTTACCTTCAGATCAGTGCGTGAATCTTCCTCGATGTCTGTATCACCGTTTACCCAGGCTGCGGTTGGTTTGGGGAATCCAGTGTATGGGATTTTGATGCTGATGGTCTGACCGGCCTTCACACTGATATCCTTCACTCCAGACATGTCCATTGATGGCTTTTCTGTAATATTTCAAAATTACAGTCAATACTTGGTTTATTCATCATTACCCAATACCGAAATCAAACATTACTTTTTGTTCTTTTCTTTTTTTTTATTAAAAAATCTTTATTTTTTAACAATTCTGCTACCCCACCTACCTGGCTGGTTCTCCACCTTGATGACCGAGGTTGGCTTACTAGCCTCTCCCGGTCCGAAAGCATTGACTGGGATGACACGGAATTGTACCTCGTCGCCTTCTGTAAGGTTTGGTATGCTGCATGAAGTACCTGCTACCTCAGCACACTCCTTCCAGTCTTCTCCTGCCTTTTTCTTCTCCACGATGTATCCAGTAATCCTACCACCTCCGTCGTTGTTCGGCTTCTTCCAGGACAGGTCCACAGAGTTCTTGGTGATTTTGTCCACGTTAGGAGCCGAAGGTGCACCGGCAGCAACTGTATGAAATAAATTTAAATGTGATAAGCATATTCTTTCATGCAAAAATATCCATTTTACTACTCAACAAAAACAAGGAACTTCATCACCATTAACTGTTATCCAGGTATGTTTGCTTGCACAATATAATGATTCCTAAATGTTGAACAAAAAGGGCACCACATTCTTAATATCAGTAGAAATATTGTTCTTTTATGCCAGAAAAGTAACGAAATTGAGAAAAGTGCTTAAACAGTTATCCAGAACTACAATAAAAGAAATCTCTCTCAAAAGAGTTTTAATATAAAGCAAGACAATATTACAGACAATCAGATGTCATATTCAGAATTCAATAACACACTGAATCACAACCTCTAACAATATCCTAATCTAACCAATCAGAAACTACCTGATGGTAAATAATTCTGCTCCCTCCCCTGGAACGAGGAGTTGTACTTACAGACTTGGTCCCTGACCAGATGTGGGGGCGTGGCCTTGCTTGGTTTGCCTACACCTCCATCGTTAACAGCCATGACCCTGAATTCGACTTCCTGGCCTTCCTGTAAGTTCATCACAGTGAACTGTGTGTCCTTCACAGGGAAATTATTGACTTGGATCCAATCGCCTCCTCGTGGCTTCTTCTCAACAACATAACCTGTGGGAAATACCAGAATAAACAATAAAAACCTTTGATACAACAACAAATTAAGTTGACATTGTTTCTGGTTTAGGATTTGTCTTCCTTTTTTAAATTATAACAATTATGGTCTTCAAATGGCAGAGTAACTCAACAATTGAATAGAATCAACGATGAGGGTTGGTATGATTAAATTTAATCAGACAGTACATAATAACAAGAAACTTTATTTATTTTACAAATGCGAAGCAAGTTTTTCCAACTTATGTTAATCACTCTTGTTGGCCTAGCTGGAAGTGTGTGATAGGTCTTACTGCGGTAGGAAACCGAGGTACCCGGGGAAAACCCACGTGGTTGGGCAAATAACCCCAAACCTTTTCATGTCCATTCCAGGAATCGAACCCCGGACGGCTTGATGAAAGGCGAGTGTGTTACCACTGCACCATCCAACACATGAGATACTTATACATACATCAAATAAAGTCAATCTTCTTACAAAAAAGGATAATTAAAACCAGAATTGTGACTCATACCTTTGATTGGGTTACCACCATCATTTTCTGGTGCCTTCCAGGTAAGATCTGCTGACCTACGGTCATACTTGGGTATTTGTACATCCTTGGGTGCATCAGGGGTATCTGTTAATACAAGCAATTAAAGTGTAAATAATACAGACATTCTCGACAACTTACAGGACAACTGAACATAGTTTACCAACAATGAGAACATTATACCATTGTTTTCTAATATTATCAGTCTTTCGCTGAATTCAAGCTCATCTTTCCACATCCTTCCACTTTCCCAACTTTCACAAAATCATTATCATCAACATATGCTTCACCAATTAGTATTATCATCATAAGTATATTTAGGTTCCTCCCTTCAAGGATATCATAGCATTCTCTATGGACATTCCTTTATAACAGCAAACTGATGAAAAAGGTGATGAAAAGGTGATGAAAAAGGTGATGAAAAGAGTGATGAAAAGGTGATGAAAAAGGTGATGAAAAAGGTGATGAAAAAAGCGATGAAAAAGGTGATGAAAAAAGCGATGAAAAGGTGATGAAAAAGGTGATGAAAAAAGCGATGAAAAAGGTGGTGAAAAGGTGATGAAAAGGTGATGGAAAAGGTGATGAAAAAGGTGATGAAAAGGTGATGAAAAAGGTGATGAAAAGGTGATGAAAAAAGTGATGAAAAGGTGATGAAAAAGGTGATGAAAAAGGTGATGAAAAGGTGATGAAAAAGGTGATAAAAAGATGATGAAAAGGTGATGAAAAGGTGATGAAAAGGTGATGAAAAGGTGATGAAAAAGGTGATGAAAAGGTGATGAAAAAGGTAATGAAAAAGGTGATGAAAGGTGATGAAAAAGGTGATGAAAAAGATGATGAAAAAGGTGATGAAAAGGTGATGAAAAAAGTGATGAAAAAGGTGATTAAGAAAGTAAATAGAAAAAGTACCGTATGGGTTTTTGGCCAATGTTGGTTTAGTGGTCTCCAACGGTTCACCGACCCCGTACATGTTCTCTGCCTTTACGCGGAACTTGTATTTCTTTCCCTCCTTAAGTCCCTTGACAGGGTGAGAAGTGCCTTTGACAATACCTGGAACCTTCTCCCAGGTAGTGCTGCCCTCTTCACACTTCTCAACTATGTAATCTGTAATCAAATCATTAGGTAGCTGTTATTTAAGGTAAACCAAAGAAAATTATCACACATCCATTCTGATATTGCTGAAAAACAAAATCCTCTTCACATTTTTTTTTAAATAACTATTTAATAAAGTTTCAAATATATTTAAAGTTTAAGCAAGATATCAATTTATTAAAGGAATCTTTCCAGAAATATTTTTTTTCATCAACAACAACAAAAATAAACAAGATGTAACAAAATATATACAGTATGTAATATCCATATATATTGTAAATAATTATCATATTTAAACTTAATGTACACTCAAACCAAATATTCTAAAAAATTTACTGGATGTTAAAATCAACCTTGTTTCCCAGTCGATGACCTAGACATTGGCATACCTGTGACCTCTGCGCCTCCATTATCCTCTGGTCTCTTCCAGGACAAGACACAGCTTTCGGCAAACACATCACTGACATCTAGTGGTCCTTCTGGAGGTCCAGGTGCATCCAGAACAACGACAGGGATGTCAGCAGAGTGGGTACCACTCTCGTTAGACACAGTGACTGTATATTTACCAGTGTCACCTCTTTCTGCCTTGGGTACATTCAGTTTGGCAGAATCTTCATTGTTAGTTGTTGCAGCCTGCAAAATTCAGTACAATGATGTAAAAAAATTTTTAACCTTTTTCCTTCTTTTCACTGATCTATTGAATAAATTCTATGCCTTGATAATTCACATATATTATTTAATTTTTTTCGCTTACAAGAAAACAAGCGTAAAAAAAATATTTAGTTAGAAAAAATTCTGACATACCCGAGGTGAAAGAGGGCGGCCATCTTTCTGCCAGGTAACAGTAGGAGTAGGGGCACCAGAGATACCCATTTTGATGTTAAGTGGTTCACCAGCTCTCACACGGATCTCCTTAGCACCAAACAGAGAATCCAAACTGACCTTTGGAGCCTCTGTTTAAACACAGAAAATATCAGTCAATTACACATAGGAGCAAAAAATAATGACATCTTCAATTGATGCTTGTTCCTGTTCAATTTTAACTACATTTTGTATTCACAAAATTTCCTTACAGATCGGAGGACATGAGATGATAGAACCTACCTTTGGTGGGTTTTGCACAGATTGGCTTAGAAGCAACACTAGGTTCAGAGCTGCCAGCCTCATTTACAGCCATCACCCTGTATTCATATTCTTTTCCATCAACAACCTTTGCATCTTCAAATTCTAACTCCTGGAAAATCAAAGTAAAAACCAATCTGATATAAGTTATAGTAAATGTACTAACGGTGAATTCAGAAAATGTACAGAAATGTTTTTCTTCCAGAAGATATTTTACACTGATCATGATGTTGACAATGAAAGCATTATGAAATACTGACCTTGACGAGGTCCCTGTTGACCTTGACCCAACGGTTGCTCTTTGGTTCTTTTCTCTCAACATTGTAGCCTTTGATGGGGTTGCCACCGTCACTCTCTGGTGGTTCCCACTTAATGGTAATGTGGTCCCTGTTTTGGTCGGCAACTTGGGGCTGGGCAGGTGGGAAGGGTTCATCTAAAATCAACAAATATGTTTTAAAAATTCAGAGTCGATCATTGGTTTGCATTGAAAAAGTCACCAACAAAAGCCAAAACTAACATTTATATTATAATATTTGTCCATCGATAAGTGCGGGGAAGCAACACATTAATTCTTACAGGGGGTGGGCTTATTACAGGACAATGAAATATCACGGTTATTAATTTCACTATACATGTATATGTGAATAGGCTTATCACCAGGTGTGGGTATATCTGTGAAAAAGGGTACCACATTTAGAATACCTTAGGGGCTGGAAATTATGTTGTCTTTGCTCTGACAAGCCTTAACGGGCAAAACTGGTTGGCAAATAATAAAATTATTCCACCTACTTAACTTTGTGAAGCTGGTCGATGTTGAGTACACTTCTACCCACAATGCAAAATAAATTCAGTATAAAATCAAAGTACTGAGAGTACTGGTCATTGATGGACTATAAACATGGACTATATAAGAGTGATTCAGTCCTTTTTGATGTAGATCTTCAACACTATAGTCGGCACTTCCAGACCTACCAAATGGATTCTTGGCTGTGACGGGTTCCTCTGTTTCTAAGGGTTCGCTCTCTCCATTGTCACTGATTGCTGAAACTCTAAACTTGTAGTCGTGGCCTTCCTGTAATTTGGGAACAGTCAGACTGGTGCCTCTCACCAAATCCTTAACAGGCTCCCAGCGACCCTTCTTGGTGTCATACTTTTCAACTTTGTAGCCTCTGAAAGTGTGTGAATTCATGTGTTGCAATCATCAATATTTCATAAGTATATTCTGGTTCCCATGAATTCTCAGTATATAGTATACTTGAATTTATTCTTGGAAAATTGAAATATTTAAATTACCATATCTAAGATTATATTATCAAAAAGTTCACATTTGGCAGAATGTATAGTTATGTTCAGTGAGAGACAACACTACCTAACTTTCACTTGTAGATGTAACTTAAAGCACAATAAAGAAACATCAAAATTAATTTTTTTCTGGATTTTTTCTTTTAATGAATCACAGAGATTTTCTCCTCTACTTACTGGATGTCATTTCCACCGTTGTCCTTGGGTGCTTTCCATTCCAGTGTAGCGCTGTCCTTAGTCACATCCTTGACAGCCAGCGGACCTTCAGGTCTTGATGGTGGTGCTAAAGAGTAAGACATAATACAGGCATAAATCAAACCATTGAAAGTCCTCAAGTAATCAATTCTAATTTTTTCAATGAAAGTCCTGAAACAGATTATATGTTCATAACTTAAGTTTGATAAGAAAGGCACACAAGTAACAGGGATCTTTTAATATAATACAGAATTTTATAAAATATAGAAAAATAATGATTTGAAATAAGTCCTGGATTTGAATAATATGATACTGAAATATTTGTGAACCAGATACAATATGGAGGAAAATGACTCTCTTTCTTTTTTAATATAATCCTGATTTTCTGTTCAATTGAAACAAATAAACACTTGTACTAGTATTTGTATTAAGGATGTATTTACTGAAAACTTACCAAGTACCACCACTTCCACAGTAACGGAATCAGAGCCGTGCTTATTAGCCACAGTGCAGGTGTACATGCCGGTATCCTTCCTCACTGTCTTCTTGTAGTTAATGGTAGATTTCTTGGGAACATCATTGTTGATAACCACGTCACCACCGGCCTCAACTGTCTCCACACTGTCATCCTGATAATTACATAAACATGGAAAGTTAAGAACTGAAATAAAGACTCAAATAAGTAAAATACGATTTATATATAAATATATAAACTTTATTTATTCCACAACAATTGCGAAACAAGTTATAGCAACTTTTACTAATCACTTTTGTTGGCTCGGATGTAGGTGCCAGATCTGTTTGTGGAATCGAACTCAGAATGGCTATGTGGAAGGCAATTGTGTTACCATTGCCCCCACCCAACCATAGCACAATTGGAATAAAAAAATAACGCTGGATTCATATAAAATCTTTGTCTTCATAATACTTACTGTCCTTGCTTCGCTATCAAACAAAACTGAATTTAACAACAGACCCAAGAATTAATTGAATCAATGTTACTCTCTGTAGTTTAAAGAGATTTCAATGACCAGAATAACTGGAAAGCAACATGGAATCCTTCTGAAATCTATACTTCTTGTGTGTAGTTTTATTTTGTATATTCAAATTAATTTGCAAGGATATGGTTAAGAAATGTCCTATAACTTATTCTCAATATTAGAATTTTTATCAAACCCATGTTAGTGTGGTCTGATTTATAATGCATTGGTCTTTTCTGACTGAAGGTCAATCACAGTGTATACAAATCATTCTCTCATCTCTATCTATGCTTTCTGGATAAAACATGACTTGATATTTATTTTCTCTCCATCTTTGTGTATAAATAATCTTAGTTTTTTAACGGTTGAGTAATATCATTGTTACAAATCGACAGTTATGGACCAGCCAGTAAAAATGTTTTACAAATCTGGGACCATTTTCAATGTCCTTTTGAATAAAAACTCATTTTAAATGCAAAATATATATATATATATATATATATAAGGCAAACTCAATAAAAACGTAACAAAACACATTGAAATAAGCACACCAATCATACTGGCCTAGAAATAAACATTGCGTTTACATGTTACATCTCTCTTGTGTTAGTCCTCTGATAACTGTTGACCCCAACTCTAACCTCTGTCTATGATTTTGTTTGTGACATGCAAACAAATAGCAGAATATGAACATGAGAATGTTTAGTTATATCAAGTAATTTATTATAAATATAATTCATTATCTAAACACTACAATAATAACTTCACTTTAAGACCACCTCAAAATTAGGACCACCTTGGTAAAAGGGCTACTGTAAATCTAATCTCAAGACCAATTTATTTGATTTTTATATCCACATTGGTGTTGATATCTTATTTCTATTTGTTCATTTTAATATACAACATTTACCCTCGGTACTTAATATAATTGATATCTGGAACAGCATAAACATTGTAAAAGAGCAGTTTTTCCAGTGTTGTGTGCAACAGACTGCAATAAACTAGCACATTTACTATAGGTTGTACAAAAGACACACAAGTAAATAGCACCATTACATACAACAGTGCTTAGTCCTTCTGCGACTCATCAGTGATGCTATTGGCCTATATTTTGAAGATTTAAGTAGGAGAGTTAGAAAAATCCAAAGTTATTGAAACAAAAGTTAAATCCTCGATGGGCAGGTACTCTACATTCAGCTTGCTGTCTTTATCCCGATTTAATGTCTCTGACATATGAATTCTAACGATCTGTTTATTCCCCACACCTTTGTGTTATATGCTTAATGAGAATGCAATGCAAGCACAGTAATAAAGCAATGCTTTGCAGGACAAGATAAATGGTCTCAGGTTGACATAAAATTTTCATTTTTCTTTTGGCTGTTTCAATCCATTTATACTGAATCTATTTTGGGAATTTCTCACTTTCACTTTCCACTCGGTTTGTATCTGATAACTTTTTTTACACTAGTAACCATGGCAACAGTCACTGAAAACATTGTATTTATAGAGTTAGTAAACTTGTTTTGTATAATTATTTTTTGTTTATGTATAATCATTTTTGTATCAACAGCAAACCTGTAACAAAAAGGATTGTAATTCAATAATGGTAGCATGTTGGTATACAACAGAAGTTATACAACAGTTGTACAACAACTACACAATGGTAACCATAACAACCTGGTTACCAAGGGAGTATATATGTGTAACAGTGGAAACCAAACGGATGTACAAGCATGAGTCATTTTTAAGTTATTTCCTTGGAAATTTTAATCATATACCGGACAGACATTATAAGGAAAACATTTGGATGATATCAATAAGTCAACAATACACATTACTGTTTTTGGGTCAGGGATCCAATCATGTCGGGCTTGGGTTCCAATACACATCATTGCTATAGGGTGACAGTAGTGGTAAAGATTATATAGGTCAGGTTAAAGGTCAATCTGAGTAGATCTGATCTTCTTTTCTTCGAAGGAAGCAGTTTGGTAATGAATAAACTAAATACAATAGTATACCATACTTCAAACAATTAGAAACTTTAATGTTTGAAAAGTTCCAATCATTTGGCATGAAAAGTTCCAAGAATTTGGCATTTTGTTCCAATAATTTGGCATTATGTTCCAAGAATTTGGCATTATGTTCCAATAATTTGGCATTATGTTCCAATAATTTGGCATGAAAAGTTCCAAGAATTTGGCATTATGTTCCAATAATTTGGCATTATGTTCCAAGAATTTGGCATTATGTTCCAATAATTTGGCATTATGTTCCAATAATTTGGCATTATGTTCCAAGAATTTGGCATTATGTTCCAATAATTTGGCATGAAAAGTTCCAAGAATTTGGCATTATGTTCCAATAATTTGGCATTATGTTCCAATAATTTGGCATTATGTTCCAAGAATTTGGCATGAAAAGTTCCAATAATTTGGCATTATGTTCCAATAATTTGGCATTATTTTCCAAAAATTTGGCATGAAAAGTTCCAATAATTTGGTTTTATAAAAGTTTCAATTTTAGTTGTATATGTCCAATTTAAAATAAACAAAGTTGTCAGAAGTCAAGCAGTACATGTGAGGATTAGACAGAATATCTTAATATAATGAAAAGGAAAGGTTGTAGATTACTGGGACAACGAAGGACAACTGCAACAGATATGATATACAAAGGTAAGACTTCTCAAGTATTCTTTAAAAATACACAAAAACTAAGATAATTATGTAAGTACTTAATTACTGAACTGTAAAGCTGTAAAGCTGCTTATAAAATACAGAGCATTTTAGTAAAAATCATGACAACTCTGTTCAAATGTTGTGGGAATGACAGAACATACTATTTGATTGGCACCACAATATGTGCGTATGTCTTCAAATACCACAACACTTTAACAGAAAGCTCTGCACCAGCAATGCAAAAGTAAAGAATTCCAAATTTGGCTAAGCTTGTTAAAGAATGATTCACAGAGAGAAATGTAAATTTTTACAAATCAATTTTTTTTTTTTTTTTTTTTTTATTTTGAAGTAAATTAATCTAAAACTTCACTAGCATAAAAAAAATCGTCCAATATTTTTTTAAAATTCAGACTCAAGAGTAAAGAAATCTTGATCAAATGTTGTGTGGTACAAGGAAACAAGACTACAGACAGTTGTACTAACATGATATAAAATCTTAAAGTTTCTGTCATTCTATCAGTAAGATCTGCCTTAAAGATTTTATAGACAAAATCAAGTGAAAAGATAGGTTCTTCCAAACTCTGTAAACAAACAGTCATGAGCTTTAAAACAAATAAAAATAAAAGTTTACCAATAATTACTGAAACAAATAGAGACAAACATTATAATTAAAAAGTTGACAAATTTTGACTGATTTATTTCACAGACTTTGTAGGAACCTATCTTTTATGGAAAATGATTATATAAGGACAGAAGAGATTTGACAGAATGGAGTACAGCACCATCACCTATGCAGTAGGTTATCACTCACCTTCTTTTTAAGATCAGCCTGCGTATTAAATAATCAATTTCAAATAAAACAAAATATAGCAACTAGCAATATGAAAAGCAATCTTCAAAAGAAAATAAAACCAAAACAGCAATTTGCTTAAAATAAAAACATGTTTGTAAAGGAGTATCAGCCATTTCTGAGACAGTTTATGTTGTAGCACATCTAAAGCAAATTAAACTTACCACTGAAACTGACACATAGTGTATAAACATGCATAATTTAGTAGCTTGGTTAAAGATAAAAATAAATTAATTTCAAATATCAACAGAATGAAATAAAAATCAAATTATAAACTTAAGACAATGAAATAATTAGAGCACATCCAAATTTATCAAATTAACTCATCCAGAAAAGAAAAAAACGGACATACAATGGAAAGAAAATAAATTGAAATGTTACACCACTGACTAGAAAAATTTTAATTGAGACCAGAAGATTTGTGAAATTTATAACCCTCATTGACAAAAAAGTTGCACAGCGATTACATATGATAAAATTTTCTTTAGGAATGAAATTTAAAAAGTTTATATTTCATTTAAATAGAGATCAAACAGTTATGCAAATTTGTTTTGAACAATTTCAACAATAATTCATCCCCAATGATATTAGACAATAAAATAAATTTCAGAGCAAATTAGTTTCATTGAAATTCCCAAATCGTGACTAGATTTTTGATCATATTTTGAATTGTGGCAAATAGGAATTTCTCCATCAACTAAAAACTGAATTAAAACAAAAAGGGACAGGAACTAAAACTACAACCACAGTTTGATACCACAGTAAAAACAGCAAGAGTATCCACATTTAAAATCAAATTGGAATGATAGTGAACACATTCTGATGTGTTTACCAAAAAAATATCAGAAGAAAATCAACAGTTTTATTTTTTTGCAAGACATAATCAATTAATGAATTTGAAAGATCTATTCCAATTTGACAAGAAAAGGGATTGAGACAACGCAAAATGGTTTCCACGGTAACCTACCAGTAATTTACGGGTCCATTTGACCTCTGGCGCAGGCTCCCCAACATACTCCACAGTCATAGCAAATTCCTTTGGAGCTTTCACTTTAATAGTTGCCAACTTGTCTTTGTCCAAAATCCTGGGCTTCACTGTAAGCATAAGAAACTTCGATTGGGATTTCTCATTCATACACTTTTTTGTAGCATCAGTCATCACACCTCATGATTAAATGTGTAAAAGACATGATATCCATAAGACATGCGTTTCTTACCTGGTATATGTCTGGCTTAATACCTTAAGTTAGGGGAAGATTTATTTCAAAAAGTTGGTAAGGTATTGTTAAGTATTAGCTACACAATATATCGGGGATTACGTTTCACAAAATTTCATTTCGCTGTACCTTAAGAATAATCACTGAGAGAATTTGAATATATTTTTACAACTTCAATTCTTCAATATAATCAAGGTAATTAATCTGATGGCCTTCACACCAGTAAACAGCAAACTACTCACAAAGTATCATTACCTTAAGAATCTTAAGTTTATCAAAATTTCAATCTTTTGGACAATTTTTGCTTTGAAATTAGGCCATGGTAGTTCAGTTGACTAGCATGTCTAACTAATATCAAACCCTACCACATTTGATGTACTGAAGATTTCACTCAACATTTTTAAAACATTTAACATGTTGTGATCTTAAAGATAATTCATGGTCTTACATGTCTTGAATGTTGCATTTGAATTTATCATACCATGACTATTCAGCATTCCAAAGAAATTTATTAAGGAAAAAGCACAACACTATTTTTTCAGTCTTGTGCCAGATTGTCAAAACGGTGCGTATCACAGATTCCTTAATTTGTAGAATTTGTAAATTTTGAAGATCCCTGAGTCAGTATGTTTAGAAAGAGTGAACACACAGTTGACTATAGGTTTGTATATGTAGACATTAGGAACACACAAATACCTGGGTTTGCATGTATTTATAGACACAAGGAACACACAGATCTCTGGGTTTGTATGTATTTGTAGACACAAGGAACACACAGATCCCTGGGTTTGTATGTATTTGTAGACACAAGGAACACACAGATCCCTGGGTTTGTATGTATTTGTAGACACAAGGAACACACATATCCCTGGGTTTGTATGTATTTGTCACTGGGTTTGTTGATGAGAAAGTTATAATCTTTACCTCGCCTAGCCTTGGTGGTGACAGGAGGTGACACCACACTGGGTTTAGACAAGCCAGCCTTGTTCTTGGCCATTACACGGAACTCGTATTCCTTGCCCTCTACAAGACCCTCAACTGTACCCTGGCACTCACTGCCTGGTATCTCAACACCCTGCAAAGGATATTTTAATACAAATGGTGACTTTGATGAAAAACTTACTTATACACAAAAGAGAGTAAATAAAAAACTTTAGAAGAGTATTAATTAATTTGAAAGTTTCAGAAGTCATTAACACATAAAACTGCTCCTACCTTCTCCCAGTTGTCTTTTCCTTTTTCTTTCTTCTCAATAACATACTTCTCAATAGGAGCTCCTCCGTCATTCTGTGGTGGAGACCATGCCAGTTCAGCATAGTCCTTGTCATAATCAAGGATGGATGGCTCACCTGGGGGATCAGAGGGATCTGAAATGCCAAGGTCATTACAAAGTCAAGGTCACTAAATCACTGAAGAGGTATAAGGTCAATCATCACCTGGCAACATGAAGCAAATTGATCGAGAGTGACAATTGTTTAGTGGCCAATATCCTGCAAGTAAAACACTTCTCTCTACTTAAACTAGGAAAAAGTCCATTAGACATACATTTCCAAACTATAAACAAACCAGAATTTAATATGGTTTGGAACTTGTGATTAAGACACTATGGGGTAAATATGAACCAATCCAAAGATATGACCTTGTTTCAGAACGAGCTGTGAACAAATTGGATGGACTGACAAGACTAATGTACCCCCAGCAAAATGGCTGGGACATAGAAATCACTGTTAATGAAAATAACCCAGTCTTACCCCAAGGATCTTTAGCGATGATTTCTCCATCAGCAGTGAGTGGTTCACTGACGCCCTGTTCATTGACAGCTTTCACTCTGAACTGGTAGCGATGACCTGGTTTGAGATCAGCAACGTCAATCTCCAAATCCTCTGTGGTACAGACCTCCTCCCAGGAGTCTTTCTCTGCATCCTTCATTTCCACAATGTAATGTTTAATGGGGCAGCCACCATCCTCCTTAGGGTGATCCCACAGGAGGGCACAGCGATCAGAGTAAACATCGACCACATCCAGGGGACCCTGGGGACGCCCGGGCACATCTGAACAGTGAAATTCTTTAGGTTAATATATGTCAAAAAGAATCATAAACTCAAATTCAATAAAATTTGGGCAGCATATGCACAATGAAAGATTTACACAGAGACTCTTGAAAAAGTACATGGAGAATCAGACCAGGTGTTCCAGTAGAGAAAGTGCCTTCCACTTCATCGAAGACACCCACCATGTAAAACATACCATGTCAGCTATTCAAGTTCAAATATGTAGGTAAAATATGACAGGTATATCAATAATATAAAATGGGGCAAAGCCACAATTGGCCGGGTTGCATGATGAGTGCAATGTTATATGGTATTTATAAGACAGTTAAGGGTGTTTCATTTGTTGAGTATGTAGAATATTTGTTATAAGAGAGAAAGCTTGGTTGTACTTTATGAATTGGAGCTGAAGAAGGGCATTTGAAGAAAGAAGTTGCAGCCATTTTTGATTTGGAGATGTTAAAAAAATAGACAATGGACATCTAAGGCCCAAAGGTGATTTATATGTGGAATTTTGGAAAGATTCTTGTAGTAGTTTCTGAGAAACTGTAATAACAAGACAGGTTTCAAAAAATGACTAAGTTCCAAAGCCCGGAGAATCAAGAAAAATGTCCGGAATGAATCCATAATAAAAGGTGCACATCTTCAACATAAACATAAACATCCTACAAAGTTTTAAGCTTCTACATCAAAAACTCTAGGAGGAGTTGATTCTACAAAACCCCGCCCCGCCGCCCAGACACACTATGAGCAACCCGGCCAAAATTGTAAGTTAACCTGCATGTGCAGGCAAAGCAAAACAAGGAAGTATAGGACAAAGTCCAGCTTTCCTTAAACACATCCAGTATTAATAAACGTAAGATAGGTACATGTATCAGGGTACACAGTCACAGATAAATTATGACAGGTGTACAAACAATTATTGCAAACTTAATGATAAACTTAACTTACCAAGAACTCTGACGTTGATGGGGATGACTTCAGTGCCCACCTCATTTGTGAGGGTAAGTTCATACTCTCCAGTATCCCCACGTTGTGCGTTGGGGATGTTGAGCTTGGCAACTTTGTCAGCAGTCTCAATGTCAGTATCAGCTTCACTCAAACCAACACCGTCCTTCTTCCAGGAAGCAAATGGTTTTGGTGTACCTGTAATTGAAAGAAATTAAATCATCCTCTACAGGTTTTTTTATAGGAGGATTTAGTTTGTCAAAAACAAACATTGGATGACAAACGATAACAGAACAAATATGGAAACAGATAAATATGATTGACCCTTTAAAAAAAAAAAAAAAAAAAGGGAGAGGGACTAAGAAAGGGAGGTAACTCCATAGAAATTAATCTATAACATAAGTGAGGGAGGTGAAATAATGTTTTAGTGAGTATGTGCATTTGTGACTTAAGTGATTTTCATGATATTTCAATTGAAAAATTGAGATATTATCTGGACAAATGCAAAGACCGAACAGCAATTAATTCAAGTAAATCTCTAAATAGGTAGTCTAAGGTCTCCAGTGTTTCCATCATAAAACATTCAGTACCTACAACATAAAATCTTTAGGTGCAGAACATTGATACCAATCAATGTAACCTACCAATAAAAGGAATAGCCATAGCAATGGTTTCTCCCCTCTTCACAACAATCTCCTCTGGGATAAAAGCAGGATCAACCTTGGGTGGTTTCGGCACTGTTAAAAAACATAATCTTTGATTCAATTTCATGATAAATCACACTGAAACAAGAACATCTCTTACAACTCCTTAACTACACAATATCTGAACCGCAAACAAAGTTATTGTACATGTGACATTACAATGTGTACTTGTGACATTACAATGAATCTATGTAGGAAGATCCTTTGTAAGCTCAGTCTTAAAACCAAAAGAGTTCTGTCTTTCTAAGAGGTGCCTTATAAAGTATTTTCTTTTATAATGCACTCCTCTGAAAGAATGATCTCTACATTGTTGACCTCCAAACACCTGAAGGTATTTAATTAATACTCACGTTCATCAACTGTCACATTACAACGACAGGGCCTTTCGCCGACCTGGCATGTGTATTGACCACTATCTTCCTGCTTCAGGTTTTTGATGACCATCTTGTTCTGTTCGCCCTTCTTGGTAATCTCAACTCTCCTGTAATTCAATAATTTTGAGAGAGTGCAATGATCAGGGGAGGTAATTCATTAATTAGAGATGCTGTAAAAATTAAGGGAGGTAATTCAATATATATCTATATATAGTAAAAAATCTTGAATGGTAATTCTTCAGTCTATAGATAGGGAAATTATTGAGGAAGTTTTTCATTAAAGAGAGAAAACTATAATCAGGGGAGGTAATTCACAAATTACAGATGGTGTAACAATCAAGGAAGTAATTCTCAAACATAGATCAATATGGAGATAGAAAATCAGGGGAGGTTATTTGTATTTCTAGATGGAGTAATAACAAGGTATGAAATTCACCAATAGTGCTGTATTCAAGTAAAGTAATTCCTCAATACACAGAGTGTGCAATTATCAGGTTAGGTGTTACACCACAAAGACTATACAGTATCACAGGGGGGATAATGTATGGATTCAGCAGAATAAGTGAAGGTTATATGATAAAAAGGAAAACTTGTGTATGATGAATATCCAATAGATATCAATAGAAAAATTAATCATCAATTATCACCAAATTCACTTGCTAAAATGAAAGTGAAAGTTGAACATCATAGAGTAACAAAGTTTCCTTGTTAAATGAATGAAAAGCTTTAAAATAGAATTCAGCTGATTATATCTGCTTTGATAAGTGTTGCTATAGTTACAGCTAAATAATACAAAATTAAACTCCATACTTTTGTAGCCACTATCTGATGGTTTAATTAAGCTGATACCAGAAGCTGACTTACGGATCATCCTTGTCTATAGGTTTGCCATTAAGAAGCCATTTTACTGGTTGGTTGTGTGGGTTAGACGCTTTGCACTCCAACACCAGGGTTCCTTTTTCTTTCTCCTTTTTATCCTCAAGCTTCTTGAAGAATTTGATGTCAGCTGCAATCAAAAAAATTCAAATAACATTGAACCTACCTATAGTATATTATTCAATCCAATTTGATGTTTACATCTTGTCAATAAAATTTGTTGAAAAACCTACCTATAGTCAGAAATACATATTTCAACCAATACTATTGTGCTAACGGTACTTAATCAAAATCTTTAAAAAAGATTAGCTTATAAAATAATGTTCTCTCTATCCAGTAAATCAATAATAAGAAAAATAAATTATATATCATATTTTTATCATCAAAAAGAAATAAAGACCCAGCCATCTTTACTTACGTTCAATGAAAAGTTCTCCAGTTGTTTCCTTATCCAGAACTTTACATGTGTACTTTCCCCCATCCTTCATGCTGCAATTCTTGATCACCAGGCGGCGCTTCATACCATCTTTAATGATCTCATATTTACCACCAGATGGCAGCTCCTGTAACGTAGTTAAGAAACTTAATCATATACAAATCTTTATTGATGGGTTTTAGCATTTGTATTATTGTTGTGTTATGCAAAACCAGGAAAATGGTACTTCAAACACTGATTGTGTGCAAACATACAAATAAATGTAGAGATCCATGATCAGTTTTTCTTAATTTTTCTTTTTTTTTAACAATTCAGGAAATGACTCGATTTTATCTCAGAAAACCTTTAAGAAATGATAGAAACTCATCGTTACTACTCTCTAGTGTTTCTACCTTCTACACTGATACTTATTAAATACCATTTAGTATCTATTTTAAGAGCTGTAGCACCACTTAAAGGTTTAAAGAAGGTAAGGTCTTAACCCCTTAATGTCTCATTTGACCCAGTTACTGACCTTGTCAGATTTTCCTTTGAACCAATGGACCTCAGCCTCAGGGTCACTGACATCACATTCAAAGTAACACTTTTCTCTCTCCATAGCCTCAATATCATCCAACTTCTTCATGAACTCCCATTCAGGTTCTGGTTGAGGTCAAAGGTTAAAATCAGTAGAGATAATATAATGAAAAATACCTAAAAAGATTGACCCATCTCTGTGATATTAGGTCAAAGGTCAATATCAAAACTAGACAATATTTAGAAGTAGCAATTAAAATAATTTAAACATCATAATACCAACAGCTGCATTTAACTATTATTAAAGGTCAAAGGTCAAAATATAGAAATTTTATTGACATTGCAATAGTTCAACACAGCATAATTACAAAAGAGCTATATATATTTAAGTCAATGACACAATATACAAGAGCAGTAAACAAAATTACTGATTAAGACCAGCTTTATGCGCAAGGTATCCTAGCTTTCAAATCAATATCAGCAACATAAATTTAACTGCAGCACCATTTTTCTGTAATAATTTCACAGATTATTGATAAATACAATATTACAATAAGAACTAACTTTCTTCCTGCATCAGACTAAAAAACTGAATAAAATAAATTTGAAAAAAATTTTGAAAAAATTAATTCTGCAATAACTTTATTTGTAGACAAATTTTACAAAATTAAATTTAGCTGTTAAACAGCCTAAAATTTCTAATTCATGCAATTTTTGAGTTATAGCTACTATATTGACCAATCATGTCTGTTCTAACAGCTACGACTGACCAATCACATTTGTTTTAACAAAATGCTTTGTTATAAACAAATGTCCAATGAGATGAATTCCTATTTGGTTTGTCCTACAGACAGCGCACTGCTGAAGGTACTGCCTCACGACGAGGGTATACCACAGCGAGGGTAGTCAATATAAATATATGCAGCGCAAGAATCAACTAAACATCTGAAAATGAAAATAAAAATCTCCTAATAAGAAAACTTAAGCTTACATAAAGCATGCATATATGCGGTCTGATTCGCACACAGCGATAGTACGTCTGACATTCTGTTAATGATCTAATCTGTTGGCATCAACACGGTCTATCGCTAGGCAGAAATCTAAGTTAGTGTTATCGCTGCAAAAAGGGGAGGGCTCTCTTTCTCTCCTAAACACATCTAAAAAAAAACATTAGGGATTTTGTTTGCGACAAAACATCTGCAATTCAAATGACAAGTGATTTTAGTTATCATATACAAATCAAATGCAAAGTCAACATAATTGTTAATTCAGAGGAATTTTTTCATGAAAATTTTTAATAGAAGAAACCTTGGAAAGTCAGTTACTTCGTTTTTAAGATCATGAGTGATTTTGAAAATATGTTTAAGACTGTCAGGTCTATGCTGCTTTTTCTACCTGTGATGGCCAGTTTACAAGAGGTTGAAGCTGCACCACAAGTACAGGTGTACTCGGCCTCATCTTCGGAATTGGCGTTGATGATTTTAAGCATACATCTGTTTTCACGACGCTGGATCTCCATTTTACCAGGCGTATACTGAAACATACAAACCAATCTTATAGACATGGTACGTGTAACTGTTGTTAAAATCTCTCACAGAAATAATCCTCACTAATATCACCATACTACAGATCCAAACATATTGGTTTCTCCTACCCAGGATAATCCCCACTTTCAACATTGCAATATCTTTCCTTGTTTTACCCTAGGATTGAGATGGGGATTTCTCTTTCATAATTAAGACAAAACTTCAACAATGTAAAATATTAGGAAAATAAAAATAAATACATGATACAAGATCAGCCACAGAAGAGAAATATAAGTATTCATTCCCTTGTTGGTGAGATTGAGGCATCTCACCTGTCGCAGTAAGATTTTTAAGATGCAAACACTTGACAAGCCTCGTGTTTGTCAACTTCATGATATTTCTACTTGGGTCATGATCACCCAATCTCATCTCAAACTGGGTAAAAATACTGTTATTCCTACAGAGTGTGACACGATTTCTAGATTTCTGGTTTTTCATTCACTGGAGTGTAACATGATTTCTAGGTTTCTGGTTTCTCATTCACTGGATGGTGACATGATTTCTAGGTTTCTAGTTTCTCATTCACTGAGTGTGACATGATTTCTAGGTTTCTAGTTTCTCATTCACTGAGTGTGACATGGTTTCTAGGTTTCTGGTTTCTCATTCACTGAGTGTGACATGATTTCTAGGTTTCTGGTTTCTCATTCACTGAGTGTGACAAGATTTCTAGGTTTCTGGTTTCTCATTCACTGAGTGTGACATGGTTTCTGGTTTCTCATTCACTGGAGTGTGACATGATTTCTAGGTTTCTGGTTTCTCATTCACTGGAGTGTGACATGGTTTCTGGTTTCTCATTCACTGGAGTGTGACATGATTTCTAGGTTTCTAGTTTCTCATTCACTGGTGTGTGACATGATTTCTAGGTTTCTGGTTTCTCATTCACTGAGTGTGACATGATTTCTAGGTTTCTGGTTTCTCATTCACTGGAGTGTGACATGATTTCTAGGTTTCTAGTTTCTCATTCACTGGAGTGTGACATGATTTCTAGGTTTCTGGTTTCTCATTCACTGAGTGTGACATGATTTCTAGGTTTCTGGTTTCTCATTCACTGGAGTGTGACATGATTTCTAGGTTTCTGGTTTCTCATTCACTGAGTGTGACATGATTTCTAGGTTTCTGGTTTCTCATTCACTGAGTGTGACATGATTTCTAGGTTTCTGGTTTCTCATTCACTGGAGTGTGACATTATTTCTAGGTTTCTGGTTTCTCATTCACTGGAGTGTGACATGATTTCTGGGTTTCTGGTTTCTCATTCAATGAAATGTGACATTGTTTTGGGTCTATTAAATACTAATTAATTCATCAGGAGTGAAATATATTACAAACAGAACCGTGTCCATATTTCTATAATTGGATATTCAGTTTATATGTCCCAAAATGTCTTTAAAGTTTCACTTAGCATAAAACACCAGAAGTTGATTTGCAACATATACTGCTGACAATTTGTGTAAGTACTGCAGGTCACCTGTAAAGTTCTGGACAAGCAAACATTTCCAAATTAGAAAAACACTTTCCCTTGATAGAACTTATACCACAACAGTAAAACGTTTTGTGAATACTTGATATTGAAATGATTAAATCCCACCCTCTTCTTTGAAATAATCCTTTCATGGTATCCTGTATATAAATGAAAACTTTCTATTGACTAACTACATAATAAATTATAAATCTAAAATCGTCTGTGACACCACACAATACCAGAAGTAATTAGCTGACATGAAGTAACCGGTAAAAATTTCAATAGTTAAATACAGGTAAATGTGATATGAATTCTACCTTTGCATACACACTAGTAACTGGTCTGTTTATGGGGTACAGATCCCTGGCTGGTTTGTGGTTTATAAACTGTTCTATTATATATTTTAACGGTACATTAAGTCTCCATTAAAATAAGTATGATTCGTTGTTTACAGAGCTCCTATAATTTATCCATAATAGAAAATGCTGTCGCCTTCATAAAAAGCCTCAGTAAGGGGTTAATATATTATAGACCCATCACCTTATATGTAATTAATACATATGTATTACTATAACAATCAAGAAAGTCATGATATACCACTAGAAAACTTGTCTACATGTAGGTTAAACACAGGTGAGGCTAATATTTTCTTGAGCAGTGACAGAAACCAACTGCAATTCAATATGTCTGCTACATTTTCCAATTTATGTAATATGAAAGAATATAAACCATAGATCGAAGAATGTTATGGACAGTTTGTCTGACCTACTTACTAAATCTGAATAACGGACTGATATTTGTGGTAGTTTTTATAGATTATGAAAAAAAAATGTGTAGCACATTGATCAAAAAGTTTGGTAGACATATTTCATTTTTCATATTTCATTGTAACATGCTATATCATAACTGTTATGCAGATATCTAGATTCGTCTTTGTGTACTTTTGTAATTAATTGATGAATATTCTGTTCAGTTTTCTAAGGAGCAGGCTTTCATAGGCTTTGCCTGTTGCCCAATTCATTTTGCTTTAAGATCCATGCAAAAAAATTATTCTGAAATGAAAAAGCTAGAGGGAGATTCTAACTAATAACCTCGAATCTCCAGAAACTGCATTTTTGGAATGATCATTCACATCTTGGTCACCCAAGTATTCATTCAATTAAGTTAAGCTATGATCTTTTATCAACTTGTTTTTACTCACAAGGACAACACCAAGTAAATACCCTTGATAAAAGCACTATAATTGAGCCCTCAGATTGGCTGCAGCTGTCTTATTAATATACACACTAGAATTAGGCTTAGGTATGAGAACTGGTCTCTCAGCAGAGGTGGTCCCTTAATACAGGTTGTAATGCTTCAAAACCAGGGGTCATTATCATTATTTTTCTCTATGTACACTGATGTAGTCTCTCATTTTGAAAGTGATATCTTATGTAGTACAAATATGAAACTGAATATAGAGATGAGAATATGTCAATCTTTTCAGAATTCTGTCGAGCGCCTAAACGTGTGACCTCTATGTTAGTAAGTAACCTCTATATCTACTGTCAGGAAGCCCTTTAAATGAAATCAGACATATTAGTGATAAGAACTGATAACTAGCTGTCTATGTATTATTAATGGAATATCTATATACCAGCTAAGTGCATAGTTTATCAGAGAAGGGACCGGTTTAAAGTATTAATCATCACAATTTCTTAGGAGCAGAAGAAATTCGGTGCACATGATTGAAATGACTTTTATAACATTGACACGCAATGAAATATACTGGATTTGATGTTGATTTTTCACTCGAAATTCAGTTGTAGTATTTACTGATCTAACCCTGTGAGTGTCATTAATAATACTATCATAATATCAACATACAGAACCTAAAGGTTCATTACAAATTTACAAGATCTATTTCTCATTACATGTTGTCCTCTTTATTATAAATTATAGACCACTTTTCAGAAATAATATCTGACTAGATTTGACGATGTTCGTTCTGAAGTGTATTTATACACCAGGAGAGATGTACAGTAGTGTGTTTATACGATAATCAGAGACAAGGTGAACCCACTAAGGCCCAGGTAGATCTGTTACAATACAATAACTGCGGAATACACACAAGAGTATCGGGGTGTATTTCTCCAAAGCACTTTAAACGTGCCCAGCATTACCACAAGACACTCTAAACTCACCATGGATCTAACAGTGATCGAGAAAAGAATTTCTCAGTGGAGCAATATTCCTTCATATACTGACAGAAAAATTGACTACAAATTCAAGTGAGGATTATCTTGATATATTACTGTACTCTTGAAGTAAATATCAAAAGTACTAATACAGATAACTATGCATTTATGTGTCCATATTTAAGATTTTCGGTGGCTAAAACTGTGATTTTTGTCTACAGAGGAGGATCATGCTTAAATGACAAGAAAAATTAGGATAATGTGGATCTATCAAGAATGCATACTGATTTACAGTTTTCCCAGCAGGTAAATTGAAACCATTGTTTAAAGTGATCAGAAAGGCTCAGAAGGCCAGTCACCGATTCTGCTCACTACAAATGAAATGTCTAACGGGTGTATTTAAAGTGACGTTAAAATTAAGGTGTTTTTCGTAAATACTTTGTGACAAAAACATATTTATATCATAGTGGATATTATTCGAATGGCAGGATTACATGCTAAAGACACTTTTCCACCAATCAAGGACAGTCTTGCTGCTTTTGGAATGGTGAGTTACTGCTGGAAATTCAATACAGATTCAAATGTTATCATTATGTCAGAAGTTTCAAGTGGAATTGTCAGAATTGAATTGATTTTGAATAAAGTTTTTGTTTCAGTATTTCTGAGTGAAACGTAAATCTTGTCAAAATGGAATTTAATTGATTTTTAATGGAATGAGCGAGGTACACTGGAGTTTAAATAGTGCATTGGTGGTTGGTAGTATTTTGCATATTCAAAGTAAATACAAATGTTCGAAGTACTGACAAATAGCATGAAGAATTATGTGATAAAATAACAGGCATTTTAGTTATTGCTTTTGATATCTGAAATTTAATACTTTGGGTTTTAAACCATAATAAATATTGACAGAGGGGAAAATAAATATGAGCGTTGCGTGAGATTTTTCATTAGAGGAATTTAATTCGTGGGGGATTTTAAATGTAACAGAACTTGTAAGTAATATATAGTACATTTTTATGATGTCGAAATGAAAATGTCGAATAGTACATCCAAACAATTAATGTTAGACTATTTTGGCATAAATTACTGGGCAACCTCTGCTGGCAAAACATTTATGAATTACTAATGTAATACTGAGCCATATTTTTACTGATAGATCAACGTCACATAAGGAGCCTTCATTGTTATCTATTCTGGATCCGACTTAAAATAATTTTTTGAAGAAATATGATTCTACTGTCATAACAAAACCAGTGATGTGATGTTTGATATAGAATTACATGACCGTTAGTCTGAACAGACCAGTTCTCACAGTCCACTGGATATTTAACACAGGTGTATAAAATGTACTGTTACACCTGGCATTTAAATTAATGAGCTTCAAACGGTGTCAATATCTGTACGTAGAGCAGTGAAGCAGTACTTAAGGGGAGAGAACAGAGTCTGAAACGGACAGGAATGAGGGGAGGTAGAGGGTTATTCAAAAACAATAAAGAGAACCAAATGAGACAAATGTTACTGAGGAATTAAGGTTCTGCAGGATGTTTAGGGAAATGTAGGGGGTCTGGAAGAGGTAGACAGTGATCATAAGGTAAAGCAGGGTTAGTGAGTGTGGGTTGGGAGAACTGGGGCAATGGTAGGGAGGTCAGGAAGACTGGAATATAGATGATGTGGCCACAGGTTGGGTCAGGAAAAGGAAAATGGATGATGAGGGTAGAGGGTCAGGATTGGGATTTTTTATAGGAATTATGAGGATGGGTAGATAAAGGGAGATCAGTCTGATACAGAGAGATGCTAATTAAGAAGCAGAGCTAAAGAGTTGGGGACTAGCATGAATGAACAAGAATGGGTAGAAATACTGATTGTAAATTTGAATGTGTTTCATAACTGTATATCTTTTAAACTGGTGAATTCTGAAAATCTGTATACATTGTTTGGAAAAACTTGCTGTTTTAGTTTCCCAGGCCAAGTCATGACATCACTAAGCAAAGGGAACACCATGACTACTTCCTACGACCTTTTCAAGAAACTGACGAGTATGAGTCGGAATCTTACTCTGACGATAGCTATGAAGACAGCATGTTTTACCCTATACTTAGTGTCCCTGGAACAAATGGACAAAGTATTGGAGTCTGGTCTTACCTAAAGTTTGAAAGCATAGCCATATTCTCACCAAGCTCAGGAGATACCATGCAGAAAATTGTAAAGTATGCTGAACAGAACTTATCCTATCAGCGAGACCAACATAAGTTAATGATGCTTGCACCTGGTCAACTAACACCTATAGACATTAAAACGGTGTACAGTGTGCGACCAGGGTCAGTGATCATGATCATGCCGGAGTCCTGCGCTTTTGTCACAGTGGACATTGGTCAGCTGAAGGCTAGCTTTACTCTCACTGTGGATGTGACAATGACAGTCTACAAAATTAAATCCTTAGTGAAGAAGATGAAAGGAATTCCCATCGATCGTCAAGAAATCCTGTATCGTGAGAAAGCTTTAGAAAATTATCGTCGCTTACTGGAGTACCGTGTCACCAACAAATGTACGCTGTATGTGATGATACAGGCTCATTTTGACTTACTGATCAACATCGAGACTTTCTGGGGGAAAACATACAGATTCTACGTAGATCCCTGCTGCACAGGAACTGACATCATATACATGGTGTTTAAGCGGACATTCAGTCGTGGAGGACCAGAGGATGCTGGAATTCATGAACTCTATGTCCCAATTCACGTGCTGGTTCTTCAATATGGGAACAGCTTTGTCAACTCAGACTTCTGTCTGGCATATCTTGGCATGCACACTGGTGAAACGCTCACCCTAACTACAGTGGGACACCGAAGTAACCTCAATCTCCAGTCAATATCAGTGGTGACAGAAACGGGGGAGCGATATGGAATCACAGTATCAAAATATGACCGGTGGTCTATCCTTGCTTTCATGCTTCACGGACTGACAAATGTACCGGTTGACCTTATAAGATTGTACAAGGACCGTCAGCGCATGGAACTTTCCTCTGTGATCGGAGACCTCTCAAACAACACAGTCATAATGATGAACATTGTCCTGACACATATGGACAGCGATCTAGTGTTCGGTATACCTCTTCGAGTAAATCTAGGTAATGGCATCATCGAAAACATCCGGGTAGTCCCAAACAAGTCTGTCAGGTCAGTGAAGAAAAAGCTTGAGCGCCTGAGTGTACCGAATGCTACTCAGTATGAACTGGTGGTGGACAACAAGAAACTCTCTAACAGGGCTGTGGTACAACATGTTGTGTTGGATGTCAAATCTCCTCTTCTACTCCAACTTGATACCTTCCCAGTATTTGCTCATACTCCTGATGGAATAATATACAAAACCAACACAAATGTTCGACAAACTATCGGAGAATTCAAAAAGAAAATCCAAGATAAATCCTCATATCCTATGTCTTCTTGCCGCATAATTATGGCCGGAGAAGAACTGAGCGGCCCGGACTCCAGCAACCTATACGAGGCTGGAGTCAATGTAAGGTCATCTTTATTTATCAAAGCTAGTCACAGCACACATTGCTTTTTTATCAATGGCAACAATTGGATGGTGAAGGTCCGTGTGCCGGTAAGACCGACATCTGACGACATTCGTCAAAGTGTTTGGGACACGAAGAAAGTGCCGGAGTGTAGCATTAACTGTATACTAACATTCCTGCATTGGTTTTTCATGCCACGTATGTCAGGCAAAAACAACGTCCCAATACAACGTCGGATCAAGAAACGAATGCCAATCACGAAAGAGCTGCTGATTCCTATGGCAGAAAATGAACTAGCTATAGAAACAGATTTTGTGCTTGAAAAACGAAAAGACAAGATTCATCCCATGCCATTGTCTGCTACACATTCTGTACATTCAAAGGATGGTGATTTGACTTCAAGGTCATATAACAGTGCAGAACCAAGTGGTTTCGTTCACCCAAATATTCGTCCTAAATTTGAACCGACGCAGTTTTTGGATCACAAGGACCACAATACCACACATGGAGACAAAGGAAAGCCACATACAAACTACAGGAAGGACAACAATGACAATAGTGTTGTCCCGAGGTCAAAAAATCCACCATGGATCGGGGACCTTCAACGTAAAAACAAAGCCAACCGCCTCAATTTGTCAGACTTTGATATGGGACCAGATTTCATGTTTAGCAATTCAAAAAAAAAGAAACCACATTTTGAGGCACGAAGTGTCCCTGACCGTTTACCAGGCATTTTACAATGTAATTCAAATAGGCATAACCATCCTCATCGCTACAAAGGGCCTCGTCCTCACCAACACCCACATCGTAGGACGGGATCCGAGGGAGATGAGCAAGAAAAGGTCTATGTCACAAAACCGTTTAAACTAGTGGATCTCAGCCCTAAACGTAAACGACGAGTGTAGCATATGAGTCTTTTTTAACAATCACTTAGAGGATTTAAGCCTTCAATACATTTAAATGATTCTCACAAAATCATACAAACTAGTGGATTGCACCTGTGAATGTAAACAGCGAGTGATTATGTATCAGGCTAACTTAATTTTACCACAAAATCATTCAAACTAGTGGATCTCTATAGCCGTGAGCATGAATGGCAAGATTATAAGTGTCTTATTCTGTCTCTCTCTTAACCATTCAAACACGTAGACTTTACCTGACTAATCCTTAACATCAAGTGCAGTATCCAACAGTATCAGAACAATGATCAATACACAGATATTCCAAATGTAAATAGATATATGGCAGAATTCCCGATTTTATTGAATATCGGCACTGTTGCCATGGCTATGAAATTCCAAATATTTACATTGAGTTGTTGAAGATAATGTCTTTACCTTTTACTTATAGGACAGTAACATACTTATATGACAAGTAATGGTTGTGTGTAGAACTGATACCATCAGTGTATGTTAACACCCAATCATCAGGCCCTATACCTGACACTCCGTCATTGTTATAGTGATATGGAGATAATAGACACGGTTCCTGTACACCTACTGATTCTATAACAAATCTGTGCTCAGATCAAAATCTTTTTAAACACTAATCACATTGGCAATTTCTGTTTACACAGAACTGACCTCATTGTTTTAGTCATCTGATTAACGTCTCATAATAAAACTGTTAAATATTCTTCTGTTCTAAACACAGTGAGTAAGATATTGCTGAAATCATGACACAATGATGTATGTGTATGGCTGAATCAAAACAAAACACTACATCTGGTTTAAATTCCATGGGGTAATGGAATTTCTCCACTAAGAAATAACTTATCTAAGGATGAGACAGAAAATCTCAACCACAGGGTTGTGTAATTTATATCCAACTTAAGACTGATCTAAGTTTCGGAATTTAAATTTAAGAAAAATTTCCATATTTTCTGTTTATTAAGTCCAAGCTCACTTCATCCTTACTAGTGCATAATTCCAAATTCCAAGGAGACACAATGTTAGATATTCCTTTTTTGGGTGGGAAAATAACTTCTTCAGTCTCATGTACATGAAATAGTACCAGTGACAAGGGAGGTAACTCTAAACTTTTTACGGGGACCATGTATATGAGTATATTACTATACTGTCAAAAATCACATCCAATGTATTTATTTCATTGTCATTCTTTCTACTGAAAACGGTTTGTAAAATAATTCTGTTTAAGTTTTCAATAAAACAACCAATTTTACAAACCGCACAAAATCAATTTTTTTTACTCACTTCAATTGGTTCGCCGTTCTTGAACCATTTCACCTTTGCTCTAGGATCAGATACAAAGCACTCGAGCACGCCATCCTTCATGCGTGTGATCTCATACTTCGGAGGCAGTTTCTGGGTGAAGTCATACTCAGGCTCCTTAGCTGTAAGAATAAATCTTTACATCATTTTGGTTATCCAAAGGAAACATCTGGACTGGAGTAGAATGATGTCACTAACCATTACAAATTTCCTTCGAATTTTAAATCTACTTTCAGAGCAATGAAGCAAAAACCAACTCTTCCTTTTCGAACCAAAATGTCTTTTGTTTTAGAATTTTGAATAATTTATCTATTTGTTTAACTGGTTTTACGACCATTATTGCAGCCTTTCCATCTTTCAGTGGATGATAATTTGAAAGATTCAAGTTTAAGATCTATTTATTACCTTCAACATAAAGCCAAGCTGATGTCTTGACACCATTACACTCCAAGGTATATTTTCCTGCATCCTCTAGTTTCACGTTTTGAATATCTAAGATGTATTCTTGGCCATCATTTTCAAAATGGTACTTATGACCGTTGAAGATTTCCAGTTTGTTCTTGAACCATTTGACCTGGGCATTAGGTTTACAGAATCCACAGCTGAAGTGGACCATCTTTTCACCCTCGATAGTCTTGATATCATCAAGTTCCTCCAAAAACTTGTCGGGCTCCTGTATAATATGTGGCATCATTTAGAATTGTACAAAACTGTGAAACAAAATAATTGTTAGATCTTTATACATCGAATTTAAGAATAAACAAAATTTGTAGATTATATTTCTTTTTTTTTCCTTTTTCTTACTTATTTTTTTAAGAACTAATTAAAAGAAGAAATGTTTATTTTAAAAAATTCTTTAAAAAATCATTAAATTACTTTTAGCAGTTCTACTTAAAAGCAGATTCAAAATTGTCTTTAAATTTCTAAACTGTACAAGTATTTATGGTATATGAAAATTATTATTAAGTATTCTTTTTACTCCTCAAGTTACATTAAAAACAATATGTGCATTTAAGGCAGATAGCTCGCGGCTTTCACAACAGTGAGAAAGTTCTACAACTCCTTCACCCTACAAACCTCTTTATACGGCCTACTAGTGGGGGCCATGGATGGACAGGAGGTGAAAGAGTGTTCAAACTTTCTCTACTTTGGAATCTCTTTCATACTGTAGTTTTTCTTATTATTTTTTTTCCTTATTTCAATTGAAGATATTCAAATCATGATCACCAAGGTAACATATAGATATTGAAAATTGTAACAAAATTACAATTTTTATTAATCACAATATCATAAATTTCTTGTTTTATATATACATACATATATGAAAAGATATTCCAAAGAATGGTGTGAATAAGCAATGCTCACAACATTGATCATATCCATCAATCGACAGAGATTTAAAAATTCGAGATAAATATGAAAATTTATCAGAAATAGATATGAAAATAATATGCTATTGAAATATGTAAGATATATTACAATAAAGCATAATTACTGTATTATAATGAAAATGCCTGGCGTGAATTATGCATAAGGTATATACCAGTAGATATGAATATAGGTTCTATATACATAGCTGTTGAAAGCAGAAGGAAGAGATATATAGTCAATGAATACGCAATTATTCTAATGTCAAATAAACATTTCAGAATTATTTTTAAAACAAAGATAAAAAAAAATGCTAAGGTTTCACATATTTTTGGTATTTAATGGCAAAATCATGACTGCTCCAAATTCTTTGATCATTTACAATTCAAGGGAAGCAACTCCATGATGTACATACCAGAAACTATCAAAATTATTCATTAATTTGAATTCAAAATATCAAATGAAAGGTTATGCCTAGAATATCCTTGAATTTACATCAGAGTCATAAACTTCAAAACCATATTTTTTTTATTTGACATTAAATGTAGGTAATTAACAGCAAATGTTCTACTAGTTTTCATAACAGTTAAATGACTGCATCAAAGTATGTAATTTGTCAGTTTTGATATCTCTAAATGTTCACTGGATTAAATGTATGAAATTTGTTACATTTAGCTTTTAATAGAAGTGTTATCATTAGTAGAAGATTTACTGTGATTTCTAACAAAATTCAAATCTTTGTACCATGCTTGCATGCACTCATGCATTGGTCACATGTCAATTGCGTGGAATCTTCGCAAAAACGGTGCATGTGCGAGATTGATGGTGCCTGTGTGAGAAAGTGGAACAGATTTCTGTTTTTGCACATTGTGTCACTACGCTATATGTTAACATATGTAATATTTATGCAATGATAACATTTGAAAATATCTATGTCATGTTAATTTCTGGCAAATTTATGCTAAGTTGAACGATGTGAAATTTTTCCCATGTCAACTTCTGATAAATAATATCAAATTGTACTACATGCCTAGCTGTGTATGCATATTATGCTATAAGCACTGGAAAATTTAAGTCAAGGACACATTTTGAAAAATCTATGGCAGATAATCTATTGAAAATCAATACCATGATGATTATTCCAAAACAGTGAATATTACAACACTCAGCTACATATAACCCACATAATAAACATACCAACTTGGTATCCTTCTTTTCCTACCCTTTGAAAGTCCTCAAATACATTCAAAAGGTGAAAGTTAAGATAGGTTTACTATGCTATATCCAAGAATTTTCTCATCCCTAGTCAAAATGAGTTATCTACCTTGCTCAAGGATTTTAAGTACAATTTGATATACAATATTTTCAACAGAGAGAGGTATTTCAGATTTTCACCAGAAAGAAAAATTAATCTAATAAATATGTACATGGTATAAATAGGAACTCTTTTCATCTTTTATTTCGAAAGCAATTGAAAAAAAGCACTTGAATTTCTTTCGTTTAATTTTACCAATTACTTTCACCTACAAAACGAACAATAGTCATTTCTTTACTATTCAAAGAAATGACAAAATGGTAAGTGGTGCATTTTATCTATTTTTTTTTTTTTTTTGCAATAATGTTAATTAACATTTGTTAAATAAACTGGAAATATACATTTCCCTGTGTTATGGCAAGATGACGCCATCATTAATAATCATTCACGTTAAAATTGTTGATGTCAGTTTTGTGCTTCTTTCTGTCTTCAAAAAAGTGATACAACATTTTCGTTAATGATCACTGTTTATAGGTAAAGTATATACTTACTGCCTTAATTGTGGGCTTATATTGGAACCGGTAAGAGAAAACACAAGGATATTCAATTCTGAGAATACTTACCCTTCATGCGAGTGAGAGTGAAGAGCTGTTTATTACAAGTGCTGTGAAGTGCGAGGTGCTATATCTTTTAGTTGTTGAGAATGAACTGCGTCACAAAAATTTCATGTTTTTTTCTTAAGCACATGTTTGTACACCTAACTATAGCCCAAAACAAATTTGTCACTTCGTAAGGGATCATTTATCTTCAAATGTGGCAGAAATGGAAAAGTTCTCGGAAAATCTTTCAAATCTTAAACAAAATTAGGCTCAAAACGATATTTACCAAATTTCCATCACCAAAATATTTTTACTGATATCCTAATTTAGAAAAAGATTTCAAAATATTTTATCAGTGTGAGATTTGTAATACAATAACAATATATTTTTTCCAAAACACAAAAATATTTGTGAAGCAATTAAGTTATAGTCCTTATTACATCAGTTAAACATTAGGATTATACATAAAGGTAGGGCCTTGGTTGATTATAAATCTTTAATTTGAACTTTTGTGTAATTCATACATATTGTTCACTTTATACACAAATAGCTGCATTTCCTTTACAAAAAAATGGCAAAATGTATAGAATCAAAACTTACTGGATCATTTTGTGTATGACTAATACTTAACAATAAAGACCCGAAATTTCAGCATATCTTATAGTTTTGTTTTTAAAAGGCAATGCAGCTTCTTTGTACTTATCGTGCATATCTTAGAGATACAAGACATTACCATATATAGTTATCAATCAATAATCATGTCCTAATAAGGTGATGGGATATCAGTTTCTGTTCTACCAGGCCAAGGTCAATTAAATATAGGCTGCTTATATCTGAAGGTCAAACAGCTAACAGTATCTGAATTTAGGTGTTGAAAATAGAAGACTAATGATACAATATTTACCAGAAATGGGAAGAATATGATTATGTATACCCAAGCCAAAATCTTTATTTAGATTTGATGACTTTGAGAGGTCAAGAAATGGTATGTGAATGATTATATAACTAATTTATGGTCCAGTGCATAATAGTCATGTAATGTCAAGGATGATTGATTCTTAGGGTTAAATGACATGAAAATCTGAAGAGATGCGGTAAATTATTGTAAAAAGTCAAGGACTATTTTTAGATTTAAGCAACAAACTGAAAAGCCTTGAGAGGACAAGATTAAATAAATGATGAATAAATGTCAAAATACATTTTTGAACTTGAATGAAACATATGGGATTGACAGGTAAAGATTTAGTCTGTGTAATAAGACTACATCTGAATTTAGATTAACTATATGGCAAAAACTGAAAGATCAAAATCCAGAAAATGAAAAGTTGAACGATGATTTAAAGATACATAACACAAGACCCTGAGAGGTTAAAATTTAGTACATCAAATAGAAAAGGTCAAGGTCTTTTTTATTTTTATTTTACTATAATGACAGGCCTTGAAAGGTCAAGATCCAAATGATAAGAAAAGGTCAAGGTCTTTTTTATTTTTATTTTACTTTCATGACAGGCCTTGAAAGGTCAAGATCCACATGATTAGGAAAGGTCAAGGATGATTCCAGGATTGCAAGAAGTTAAATCTAGTTTGTAATTAGAAAATGTCAAGGACCATTTTTTAGATTTGCATCATATGGAAGGACTTGAGAGGAAAGGATGATCAAGTGCATGATTAGATGAGGTGGAAAGCCATTTTAAGAATCAAATTAGATGTGTGGCCTCCGGAGTATAGGATCCAGGGCATGATTAGGCAAGGTCAAGGACTAATTTTTGTAAATATGACCTTCAGATGACATGATACATACTGACTGTGTTATAATGGGATGTGCTTGGGTTTCAAATGCTTTTTCTTGTCCAGGTTATGGACAGGTGCAGATGTAAAGATATGCATCTTTGATGCAACAAGTGCTATTTTGTTTTCATTTCATTCATTCAGATGCTTGGTCTTCATGAGTATCCTTAACAATGAGGACAAGAGGTTTGGAGATTCAATTAGATCATTATAATGCATAACAAGTGTCATTTTCGCAGTCAGCAATTGTGTGTGTCATTACAGTTAGATTAAACTTTGGTAAAAAAAAAAATACTATCAAAAACTGAAACCGAAGAAGAATTACCAAATTCATGGTGATAAAAAAAAACTCAAAAACTAAAAATAATTTTAAATTACCATCAAAATTTTCATGACAATTCATCAATACCTGCATTATTCAAATGTATAGTTAAGATTTAAGAATCTTTCAAAACCCAACTGTGAAGACACAAGCTGACCTGGGCCCATAAGTGAAGAATTTATTATGTTTTAAGTTGGTCAAAGGATCGTTATTGTCATAACCTACAGAGCCTTACTTACCCGACGTTTCAGTTGCATAGATCGAAAATCTTGAGGTGGTTTCTTACTCTCCTCAACAACCTGACCAAGGCTCTGCGTGTGTGTATAAGAATATATGTACAT